AGGGATTAGTCTGATGATGTGTGAAGGCGGGAACTCTGGAGAATGGTTGATTGCCTGTTAATATGGTGCAAGGGCAGTAATGTCCAACTTGGAATGAGACTGCTGAGCCAGCAAAAGTCCTGTTGTCAGTCTCCTGTTTGTCCTTGTTTGCGTCTTTCTATCACTCTCTGTCATTTCACGCAATTGTTACAATTCCCTCTGTGCTTAATTTAAAAAAAAAATGTTGTGAATAACCAGCGATGCAACATGGCTCATTCGATCAAAGATTAGTAGTTAACTATTGGTTGATTTGTGATGCAGCTCGCACACGTGCAGTGAAGTTGAAGTGTGAATGACTTTAGTTGAGCTATTGTCAAATCAAAGAAAGGCGAAGTAACCCCAAAAAAATCTGAATCGCAAAATGATCGTTTACTGCTTCTGACGGAAACATCTCAGTGCAGTCTTTCTGCCTTTTTTTTTCTTGATAACTGGTCCTCTTTTCACTGTGCTATTAAAAACGGCCACAGCACTGCAAGCAACAATTCAACAGACCTTTGTAGGCTGATCACAAATAGTTGACTTGTCCAACCATCAACTAGCATGCATTCGATCCAAGTTTGTCGAACTATGGTGAACCATGGTCCTGATCGAACTTGCAACATGCCCCAGAGGTCTGATTCCTAATGCTTGATCAGGCTAGTCCAACCGTCAATTGTTTAAGGGGCATTGGTCAGCACGTCAAAACTCTTTGCGTGAGAAATTCTGAAGGATTTCCTTATATTGAACTCATTACCATGAATTTTTATGACATAGATTGGGTTGTGAAATTTGTATTGTCACTGGAAACCACAGCTCTGTGCAAATCATATTGTACATCTGTACAAAATTAAATGTATATTTGACATCTTTTTCTCGATGCCACAAGAACTACAAATGTCAAAGTCCAACGCTTGTCGCCCTTCAGGAAGACACTAAAAAGTGTTTCTGTGTTTGATCTTGAAGGAGGGGACGGACCCAAGAGGATAGATATCGAGGAAGTGAGAGAGAACTATCAGCTGCAAGATCGAGTCAGGATGCTAGGCTCTTTACCACATGGCAATGTTAAAGATGTAAGATGCGCGTTAACTCCAAGAAGGCCAAGTGTTTTGGATGTTTTCATGATGGGGAGGGGGCACCTGAGATCTTGGTTGTCCCACGATCAATGTTTCTCAAACTTGATCTGCGTATAGAGTCGTACATCTGTGAAATTTCAATTCTTTTCACTCCTGGGTTTTGTTGTTCTAGGGGTAATTCTAGAAATTAGGGGCTCATTTTTTTTCTGTGTCCCTGTCACATCTGACATATGATTTTGTAAGTTCAGATCACATTTCCCAATTTCCAAGAGTGATGAATTATTGCAAATTGCCTGCCAAACAAAAAGTAATAGATTGAAATCAATTCCAGTGATATTTCCATGTCAAATAACAAAGGTCAGACGTAACAGGGACACAGAAATGCCACACTTTTGGACCCCTAATTTCTTGGTGCATGCTCATCAGTTGAAATTGTCTCTGCTGTCTGTAAAGCCTGACGTGGCAATCTGAAATGTAAGACTTCTGTATTGTTGGTTTCAAGGTCCTAAATGAAGGAGATATATTCCTGAATACGTCACTGACCGAAGCCTTCTGCATGGCCATTGTTGAGGCTGCATACTGTGGGTGAGTTTTGGTTTGATAGTGGCAGTAGCAGTGGTTACATAGGCTTGGAAGTCACTGTAACATTATCTGTAAGGGGCGTGTAGCTTAGTGGTCAGGGGGTGTGACTCTCAGTTATCGGGCTGGGGTTCGAATCCAGCAGCTGGTGACATGTTGTGACCTTGGGCAAGTCCTTTTACCCCACTTGCCTCGCTCCAGCCAGGAAGACGAAGTGGGTGCCCATGAGGGTAGAGGCTGATATCGGCTGTCAAAACTGGTCTCATAGCCTGATGTGCAGGGGCGATTCTCCCCCAACGATGCTCTCAAGTTTCTCTCCAGATTCAAGGAGGCTTTCCCACAATGTAATGTATCATTTTATGTTTTAGTGTGTTTCTACAGAATGCTGACCTGTTGGGAATCGCGTCATGTCATGCAGATCACCGGGTATGTGTTTTCCCTCTAGTTTGCAGGTCGTCAGTACCAAAGTAGGCGGAGTCCCAGAAGTGCTGCCGGAGGAGTTTATCATTCTTGCCGAGCCAAGTGTCAAATGTAAGAGGAATTCAAAGAAGTACTGCACATCTGTCTAAAGACAACTTGCGCTTGAATGTGGTATCATATGAAATTGTGAGGATTTTATGGTGGGAAAAAATGGTGGAATTTTTTCTCTCCAAAGTCAACTTCAAAACTTTGCATTGTTTTTTTTCTTTTCTTTCTTTTTTCTTTCCATTTCTTTGTTTCTTGCTAACGTTGTCTTCTGGGAGTATTGAGCACCATTTGTTTTTCTGTTGTTAAAATGGCTGCATAAAACTGTAATGATGTATGTCGATGAATTTTAACAGCTTTAGTAGAAGCTTTGGAAGTTGCCGTTGCCAGACAGAGGGAGGGAAGCCACGTACCAGCACAGCAGGTCTATGAGACAATGAAAGGCGTCTACACCTGGCAGAACGTGGCCAAGAGAACGGAAAAAGTGAGTGCAGAATGAACTCATGCATCAGTACAAATGCCCCCCAAGTTTGAAAGAATTAGTCGTAAATGTCAGGGGATTCACTGTGCAGATTCCCTCGCGGTGAAGAAAAAGAGAGATTTGAGAGACACTTAAGGGGTCCAGGCAGTGTAATTTTTATTTTCAATGCCGTTGCCAATATAGATGCTCCTTTGTGTCCCATTAAACCCAATTTTCTAATTCAGGATGTGCCATTTTAAGGACATTTTGATGCTGTTTCTATTTTCATGCTGATTTAAATTTGCATATCTTGATGAGAAAACGTGTGATGTCAACAAGGGAGAAACCCCAGTGTTACAGCTATTTGGGCACTCCAAGCTGTCAGAATTTGGATTATTTTGCTTTTACAAATTTTTGGCTTTCATTTTTAGTTTTAGTTTACAAACCAGCAAGCAACATTTCCCTGCAAACATCTTCGATGAGCAAATTTGGGGTCCCCAATTTAAACAGACTCTCCCCCATAAATAGTGTCTTCCTGTATAAACCGACATTACATCCCTGCACCCTCGTTTGTCAGGAAAAGCACAGACAAATTTTTTAATCTTGAAAAAGTGCAATTTTTTCAAGGAGAGTAGTAACAAGACTTGTCGGGTAGTTTTCTTACATTCAAAAAAATGTTTTCAAGTATCCTGAACTGTTCAGCCTGGAGGACAGGAAAAGCTGCAATGGTTTTCCGTCACAACCACACGGAGGACTTGCGTACACATTCGGGGGATTTCCATTTCAGAAACCAGAGAGGTAAAGAAGACCCCATGCTTCGGGGCTTCTCACTGGTTTGGTAAAATGCACCCACAGACGGCCTGAATTGACCTCAAGTTCTATTCACAAAGTTGAGCCCAGCTGGTGTCATACTGTTGATAATGTCGTAACCGTGAACTCCATTTCAAGGAGTATGTGATGATGCTCTTGCGCAGATCTACAGCAGCATCATGGAGATGCCTGTGTTGTCCCTAGCTGAGCGGCTGGAGAGATACAACAAGCTGGGCCCCATTGCGGGCAAATTCTTCATCATTGTAGCTGTGGTAGATCTTCTGTTGTACTGGTTCTTTGAGTGGTGGCAACCTAGAAGGGTGGGTACATGCAATACTCGTTCATTTGAATGTTATTGTTATTATTTTTTTTTAATATTTCTGTCGGCTGGACTAAACATTCAGTTTGAAAATCTCTACGTGATTGTCTCAAAAGCGTTGCTTTTTTAATCCGTCTTTTTATTACAATCGAAATTTTATTCGTTTTTTGGATGGGGTGTTCAAATTTCCACAAATTCTTTGAAGACATTTCCAAGCATTTTTAGAGCCTGCTTTCCTTACTTTCGCTCCTCTGCTAATTTTTGTTTGTGAACACTCGGTGCAACATAATGAAGGGCGAGAGGATCCCAAGGGACGTTATGGCCTTGCAGAGGGTTAAGGCTAAATTTCTGGAATCCACTAGCAAACAATAGCCAGCACGGTGCCTCTTCCATTACTGTTTTGCTCGTTCCACAGAACATCGCTATTGTACCGGATACCAACCAACCAGCTTACACAGATGCAGATATGTACAATATTCATGCACCTACAGGTCCCAAAGACCCAGCTGAACTTTGTCAGTCCGAATCAACAGAGGGCAGCCTTTATGTACAGAAACTGAGACCCCCAGTTAGCCGAAAGGGAGACAGGTAGTCCGCAGGGTTGGCCGTTTGGGTCAGCTTTGTCTCAGGCTGTTCAACGCTGTGCAATAATCGCCCTGATGTTAACCATGGCTTCCGAGTTTAACATTGGCCTAATTTATCCTTTTCAAAGTTATTTGAAAAACTAACAAATGAAGCTTTAGCCGTTATTGGTTCCAAACAATTGTAATCTTGGAAAGGGAAGTGTGTCCAAATACAGAGCGGAAGACAATGTGAGAAGGTTGTACCACTGTGTGTGATTATGCTGCAGCCATATTGGTCTGGTATTTAAGTTCTGCAATACCAAAGTACCGTTATTTTAGTCAATCAGTGTCACGAGACTTTTGACTTTTAGTGGCTAGATCTTTATTTTGCTAATAAGTAATTTTTTTTTTACTTTTTAGTAGAGTTGTAAACATTTTGGTAAAAAAATTTTGGATACAACTGAAGCACTTTCAACGTCTGTCAACAGGAAATACTTTTTTTGCAAAATTATCTGCGATACTCTTTGCATAAAATGATAACTAAGATATAATGGTGCACTGACCTTTTAGAAAAATTTCACATCAGTTATGGTTGTTGCCATCACCCAACAGAGCTGGAAATGGAGCAAAAGTACTTAATTGTCCCTTAACATTTGTTTAAGTCATAAATTCATCCCTGGTTGCGTAATTGTTTTTAGATAAAGTTAAAACACTCCACAACTGCATAAGCTCATGCATATGTTTGTGTTCCAAACAGAACATGTACTCAATCAATAAGTCAATTCGAGCTTGTGCCATTTTAGTCTTGCATGCAGTTTACACATGTCATCAGGTGGCGCCATCTGGGACAGGCTTGAGTTACGTGCTTGAGACCAAGCATCTCTGATGCCCAGTGAAGTAAGGCTGGAGATCTTAAGTCAGACCAGCTACGATGAGGCCTTCCTTGTGGGCGTTTCCCCCCGATAGCTGATGGTTCAAAGTGTAGAAGCGTAGCTGGTATGGAAGAGGGCGAAAGCCATTAGACCTGGCTGAAGTAACAAAGCCGACGCTGTCTGGCAAGAGACGATGCTGGTGGTTGGTTGGTACATAAGCAGATGGGATCGTGATGAATAAAATCCGACCATCGGATAATGCTCCAGGCGCTTCAGGGCATTCGTATCAAATATGCCCAGGCGTTTGGCTGCTGCAGATGTTTAATTGAGAGTGGACATAAGGTCCTACTCAGCCTAAGACATATCTCGCGATATGTCAAACGTTGCAAGCTATTGGTGCGGAATGGAGGAGATTTATACCGTCTGTAGTAGTGTGCCATTATGAGAAAGACGACTGTATATGGATAAGACCATTCAGTCTTTGTCGATCTCGGCAAGAAATGAGACAAGATGTTATTAGGCAAGAGAGAACCTGAATAAGCCCATTCAGACGGACTGAAGTTTCTACGAAACAACTCATCGCGGCTAGGAGGATATTTTTAGAAGGAAAATGGAGGAGCTTAGGAGTTGTTTTGTTTGTTTGGTCGTTTTTGGTTTTTTCGAGAAGGAAAATAACGGGACTAACTATTAAGCCTATGAGAATACTTTCAGAAAGAAAATTAAATCAGAATAATAAACGTTGCAGCTAGGATGATTTTAGTAGAACGAAAACAAATTGGTAGACTATCATCAAGGTTGGAGGATATTTTTTAGAAGAAAAAATGGGAGACTGATCATCAAGGTTAGGGGGATATTTTTGAGAGGGAATAGCATAGACTAAACATCAAGGTTGGGGGATGTTTTACAGAAAAAAAAGGGAGATTGATCAACAAGGTTAGGGGGATATTTTCCAGAGGGATATTTTTTAGAAGGCAAAAATTGGGAGAGTGATCATCAAGATCAGGAGAATATTTTTAGAAGTAAAAAAGGAAAAATTTGTAATCGTGAGATATGTCCTAGGCTGAGTAGGACCTTATGTCCACTCTCAAATAAACAAGACGCCATGTCTCGGCTCCGTGTAAAGAGTATGAAGACCATTACACATCTTCATTTTGGTCTGCCTAGAGATGCTGTCAGGTTATTCATGGCAACAGCTGCCTTCACAATCTGCGTGGAGGTGTCTGCCACTAGGTCTTCATGAACAGTGGCGTTGCTAGGACTTTACCTGGGGGGGGTTACAAGGGGGCACCAGCATCTTTAGGGGAGCACCAGCTTTCAGTGGTGTGGTTTTTTGGTGCAAGTTTTCGTTGGCCTTGTTCAATTTTCATTCATCCGTTTTTTTTAGTGGGGGGGGGGGTTCCCGGGAGCCATGTTCCCACTATTCATAAACATTAATTCCCACTGTTCATGAACATTAAGGGCGTGAGGGAGGAGATTGGATGGCGACTCAAACCTGACCTTAGTCTTTGGCCAGCTTATTCTCATTCTGACCTTTTTGGCCTCGCAATCCAGGATTTCTTGTACTCTGGTGAGATCGTGTCTGGCTGGAGAGAGAAGAGCTGCGTGATTGAGAAAAACAAATCAATTCAGTAAAGTTCTAAGTATTTATTTGTTTATTACAAAAGACAGTTAATACTGGAGTGTAAAAATAAAAGAAATACACCCTGATAAATAGGTGACAAGCAAGAAATCAATACATGTACTCAGTTTGTCCAAATTTGTCACCTTTCCCAAGTGCACAAATCCTATGCACAAATCCCACATTGGTGTTATGGTGTTAGGTGGTCATGTACGCTTTTAGAAAATATTTGAAAAGGTGGCTAGAAATTATGTTCTTTAATACCCCACCAACAAAGCTGTTGGCAATGTGTTGCTACCTTCAAATGTTAATATTTTAATATTTTGGATTCTCAGTGCAAAGATCGGGGGATCAATCCCAACAATTGCATAGTTACATGTATAATTTCACTGTTTGAGAAGGGAAATTTACGTGTATAGAGGCTTACTTTGAGGTCCTGAGTTTGATTCAAAGTAGGTGTTCTGGGCAAAGGAAATTCATTACATGTACAAGTGTGCATGGCTGGCATAATTGGATGCATACAGACATTGTCATTCTTTGTGGGACCAAGACACAAATATTACGAATATGTCTGTCAAACAACAACAAATCATGAAACTTCTAAATTCACTGCCTTGGCTTACTATTAACTGGATCTATTTGAAAAACCAAATACAAATAGGATGATGAAATATGACCAGGCTCTTTCCTGTTTGGAGGGTTCAAAGTCAAATATTGAAATGGAGGTCAATTTTGGAAGTTTGTGATATTTTGAAAGAGTAACCTGTCTATTTAATTCCAGTTTTGTTAGCAGGATCAGATATTTAAAATTTTCTCATCAATTTCAATGATAGCATTATTCATGCCCGGTCAGAAATGTTGAAACAATGTCAGAAATAAAGATGCAATATCTCAGTTTTTGAAAAGTCAGCTCTTTTTGTGGTGACCGGTCACAAACAGCTGTTTTGACAATGCACATGATTTTGGCCAAAGATTGTACATGTAATTTTGGTTCATTGTTCATTTCAAATCAAACCAGAAGTTCCGATTTTGAAATTGCGACTGTTGGACTGTTGAATAGGACATTTGTGCGCAAACAGTAGGTGGAGAAATATCTTGTTGAAAGGATTTTGAAAAATACTGGAATTTACAATGAGACGTATGACTTCAATGTCTCCTCCCCCAAAAAAAGAAAATCACAGAAAGAACAGCACAGGTAGCTTGGCACGCTAATTGGAAAACCAAGTGTTTTCGTCCATAAGATCACAATGTAGTGGTGGTGGTGTGCTTTGAAATCAGTCATGAGTGAAACCTTGGTACACCTGTTGATGCTACTAAGCCTTGTGCCAACCACTTACTCACTTTCACTGATCACAATCACTGATTTCAGAATGACTTTGTCCACAGCAGCTGCTTGCGGCAAAAGAGTCGTGAACAAATCTAATTTGCACTAGAGGTTTGTCCTATGAATGCAATTCTTAATGCAATCCAACTGAGCTCTATTTTAATGAGCCATTTGCGAGTTAACTTTGACCTAAATCTGGTACACTGAGTTCTTTTAATTCATGTGAACATAACTACTTGAATTCTCCTTACTAAAATCACTGTTGCTATACCTAGTGATTCGGGGCAAGCTTTTGCTTATTTACATAAGAGACACCTTGGCACAAGACTTGCAACAATGCACTGTTCTGAATGGATATGAAGGGCATAAAGGAACCAGTCCATTCCAGAGATGGTGGTCGCTATGCGAAAGCTTGCCCCGAATCACGAGGTATAGCAACAGTGTCTTCAGTCTGGGGAATTCAAATCGTTATGTTTATGTGCAGTTAGATAACTCAGTGCACCAGATTTTATTCAAATTGAACTCACAAATGGCTTATTGAGAACTTGTCCATTTGCAACTAGGATAAATATCATGTCCTCCATACACAACGGGTGATTGTAACTTTGATATGATTTATCAGTGTAGCAGGCAATGTCTACGAGTCCAGATTTGTGAACCTTTTTAAGCACTTCTGATAGTTAAAATGTATGAGACACACAATAGTTTTACATTAAAATAAACAGATAAACTTTGATATTCTATCACATGCTGCTGCTTTGGCAATAAAATGGATTTTTCTGTACAACAGGTAAGTAAAAAGACACAGTTTCAAAAATCTTTGACAAGGGGCATGTGACATCTGAGAGAAGATTTTTTCGATGGCTAAACCATAAAGGCAATCTGAGCCATCTGCACCAACCCTGTTGCCAATGAGGTAAAGGCCACATCGGGGATTACTGTGTACCCTGTTTTTGTATTAACCCTAACAGAACTGGTATTTTTATTTGTCCATGTAACAGCCTGCGGAATAGGGAGAAATAGGCCCCGCAACCGCGATCTTGGCCATCCCACATTATCAGTACATCTGTGAAGTTTTGATTTGATCTGACGTGCGATTTTGTTGTTGAGGTCATTTGTAGTTCACGGTCTTGTGTGTGGTCAGCCTGTGTGCATTTAGCATGTACAGGAAGAACTTTGAGCTGACCTGCCTTGGAAAAATTGGTGTTCAACAAGAACCATTTGTCTGAGCTTCATAAAACTGGTGTCAAAATGATTGTATGATATTACCGGGAAAACCCTGAGGTCCAAGTACAAACAGAAAACACACTGCAAAAATATCAAGGAAAATGTCACTGGTGGGTGGAGACATTAATCTGCCCCCCTAACCGCCTTCTGTAGGGTTAAAAACTCCATGCAGCATCAGTCACGCTTCATCCGTCTCTTGTACTTCCTGAAGACGAGGCCGGGCAAGAGCGCCACCAAGGCCATGCCGGCTAGCCGCAGCATGACGCCCGTCGTGACGATCTCGTTGAGGGAGGTCACCGAGGACAGGATGCTGCCTGTCTGGATGCAGATGAAGTTGTATGGCATCAACCCTGCAAATAAAAACCGGTCATCTGTGTTCAACCATTGAGGTTCTCTTGGGTCTCTGCATGATCGCGCCTTCCAGTGATGAAGTGTTCAGCCAACCTTTGACTGATTTCTTGGTCTTTCACAAGTCCCAAAGTTGCATTGATTTTGCACAAAAACTGTTCAAATTTTTTGATGTTTGACTGTTCCAAATTACCTCTGCTGGCAATTGTGCAAGTAAACAACAATAAGCCAACAATCCTCTGTCAGATATAATTTCAACGAGCAAATTTTTGGTTCACAGTTTGAACAGATATGGTGAACAGTGTCACAGAGCTGTTTATAGAAAGGAGCAGGTAATGCCAAATGACTCGCATTGATTCATGATCTCTGAAAGGAAACTTTCTCAGAAAAACCAAAGACGTCTACCATGGATTTTATTTGTTCGTAACCCCTGAGAAAACCTCTTCTCGTCAACAAGCCATAAGAAACGTGCCCATTATTTGGGGCTTTTCTTCAGTGGGGGTCAACTGGGCTGCCCACCGCCGGTCAAGCTTTCAAAGATCTGATGCGGTACCTGGGTCACTTATCTCTATTTCCTAGGAAAGATATCCCAAGCGTCCAGTGAAGAATGGACTACTGACCTATTAACACAGACAGGAAGAACTGGAGCGGTGGAATGCCAATGATGGGCGAACTGATGTTAAGGAACCAGTTGGGTGACATCGGAAACAATCTCAGGAAGAGCAAAAAGAAGAAAAGGCTGTCTAGGTTATCCTCCACCTGTTGGACAAGGAATTTCAAATCAATACATCGACTGTTATATTTGTGAAAGAAACAGATTTTTGGTCTGGCGTTGTTCATTTCCCCAGTGTTGTGTTAAACTCCTTTTAAGTTTACCACACATCAAGGCACTTTGCCATTCATTGCCTCTCTCCACCCAGGAGTAATTGGGTACCTGTGAGGGCAGAGATGGTTACTGTGATTGATTTTAGCTGCGTAGTGCAAAATGGCAGCATCAAGCTGTATACTCCCTGGACAGCTGAGATGGTATATGGAATGTTTCATGGGCCCAGTGGGCAGGGGTAATAATAATGGAATTGTGACTTGATCGGTTTTCTGGATAAGTGCGCTGTATAAATCTACATTATTATTTTTATTATTAAATCAAAAGCTGTTCAATTAGGCTGAAGTGAACAACAAAAGCGTTTTTTTATCACCCTGTTACTTGTGACTGGAGTTGTACAAGGACTTCCCAATGCTCTGGTGATGGACTCAACTACAAGACTCTTGGATTCACCATCTTTGATATTAAGTAATGGCTATCCACCATGATACACTAATGGTAACAAAGACACAGCCGTAGCCCCACAGTATGCTGTTCAGACACGGCTTGTGAATCTGACCATTAATGTGTGGAATGCAGTTTCCCCTCCAGGTCAGTCGGCATTGACTGCCGTCATATTACCTGCTATTTGTAAGGAAAGCCAAAGTTTGCAGATACATTGGTTGGTCAGGTATGGATAGGGAAGGGGGAAGGTCAACTTTCTTCCCCCTCCCCCACTCTGACGCACCTCCCCCAAAATGAAAGAATAAAAGTAATAATAAGAAGATGACATCCCATAATGGTTACATGTATTTGCACAAAGTGAGCATTGAGAATACCAGACCGGCTAGAAAGCATATAGCACATGTGAGTTTTTGTTGACACCCCCATGGGAGGATTCCCGGATCTGCCCCTGTTGGGGTCAAATTTTCCTTCACAATGTCCAGTTACGCAGTTACTCTTAAGGAGGGTAATGGTTTCGTTTAATGTCTAGCAATGTTTAATATTCAGTAATTTCATAACTATGTACATTGATTCATTAATGAAAGATTCTTTTTTGTTGCTGTAGTAAGGCCTGCCATAGTGTGACCAGCCACCGCGAGGCAAAGATATGACTGTGAGGTGCAGTAGTCAGACAAGACCCAATTCCTTTTTTAGTACTATGCCACTTGCTCTTCCACTGAGCCAGAAGCCTGAAAAACGGTGTACCTTTTTTTGTAACGGTTGTATCCTCTGTGAGAAGTACTTCATCACGACAGCCCGGCCACAGAGGTGAGACAGGAGGTAACAGAGCGAGGCACCGGTGGCCGTCAGAACGCAGCACAGAGGGAAGGCATACCAGATACCAAACAAGGCTCCACCCAGAAGATTCTAGACAATGTTAAGAACAAAGAACCAAGGCATGGCTTTCTGAACTGCCCCAAAAGGTAGCTTCAGTCTTGCTTTCTTTACCATGAATGTATTTATAAAAATGTGAAAGTTCACTGAATTAAAAGTGCATTCACAAAGCCACTTGCCAGCACTGGCCTTCATTCTCTGATCATGGGATTTCTAGAACTACCTTTCGAAGTACATGTAAATCATTCATTACAAGTGAATTACTGATTGATATTCTTATTAATCAAAGCAGGCTTTATACTTCATCTGTTTTCCAGGGTCTTTACCATAAACACTGATCCTGGGATAGCAAACGTTTGCTTGTAGAGGTATGCACTACAGAAGAGCAGCATGACATAGCCAAAGTGATTGGCCTTGTAGTCTTGGAGGACCTCGGCCATGTCGGTCAAGTCGTCCAAATTAGTGGGAAACTTCAGCTCGATACTGAATGAAAAAAGATGGTTGTTGCACAATTACATGTACTTGTAGATTTCAATACAGATTTCATGATGTTATGCTCCATTGGTTGATCTGTGCAACTGCTCCATCTTCTGTCACCTCATTGCACAGTTTGATAATAACTGTCCCCTCGGCCATTTGCCTTTTCTTTTTACTTTTCTGCTGTGGGATATTGTTTCAGAAAAGGGAAAGTACATTTCACACAGGATTCACCAACAGCTCAAGGTCCTTGCACCATCCTGTTGATCAACCAGATGCACCTAACAATGACTTTGTTGAAAATGTACTTTTAGTCCGCGGGATTGGAAGTAATCTGTAGTTAAAATTAAATTTGAAAATACATTTTTTGGCTTGTCTAGTTTAAAACAATTTTTGACTTCATGCACGGGACACAATCAGTATCTCTACAAAGCAAAAACAATGACCTGAATTATTTATCACAGGTAGCATTTACAATTCAGATTGAAAGAAGTTTCCTCAAACCTTTTGTAACACTGCCCAAATCCATGAAACAGTACAGTGGTTTTGAGTTGTTCTCATTCTAACCATGGCCATAGTGAGCCATTCATTTACTTCTCTGTCCCTACTAAAATTGAATGACCCCAACTTACTTTAAGTTTATAACACTAATATGACCAATAACAGTAACAGAACATAGATACTGTCTGACTGTAACCAAAGTAACATTAACCACGTTAACAAGCAGGTTAAAACAATATGGAACATTAAACCACAATCTATCAATATGACTGATAGATTGGCCGAGTGTTGCTTCAATAGGAGCTGATCAGCGATTATTTATCAAGATCAACACCGGTTAACAGTGAATTGTAAGATACATGTAGTATCTGTTGGGCGTGATTGCTCGATATTCATGATCCTTTACGACAACGATGATCAGTCGATCTGAAAGCACGATTCGTTGGTAATTCTGCCATCAGCCAATTGCCTTTTACTTGTCGTTCATAATTGTGTAAGAATGTTTCAAAAAAGGGAAGTACAGACAAAATCAGAGATTTCGTACAAAATCAACGCGATCGCGCGACCGTCACCGTGCCAAGCGGCAAGCGACTGATCGCGCGCGCCCAACATATCGTGATTATCGATCATTTTGTCGATAGACACGACCTACCTTTCATTTTGTAAATGTAGATTTTCAGGCAAGGACGGCAAGTTTATGGACAACAAATACAACCAAGACGTAGCTACTGCGAAAGCCAAACCAACAGTACAGATGGCAGTCACTACAGCCATTTTTAAAAACCTAAAATTAGGTCGGTGTTTTAAATGCCCAGTGAGTTACGCAATTCACATCCTCTTGACATCGGCGTTAACATTAACTCTTGGAGGCGCTCTTCATCTATTTGTTGCCAAACTCTAAAAATACTCAATGCGGTATGGTGTTTATCTTCCCTGAAATGACGGTACTACATGTATTTGACTTCAGCTTTGTGCTTCAGATTTTAATCGTTATAAATCTTTACATCAGCGCATACAATGGAAGTTACATCCATAATGACCAGTGCTCACCCTGCGTTCGTGAAATTGTAAGTGAAAACAACTGTCCGGACAACTCTGCATGTTCTACCCCGCCTCAAGTTGAGGGTACATTCGTCAGCACAGCGGCCAACGACGAGCAGATGGCCCTTGTCGTTTACACACCGACTCATCTCAGCGCCTTTCGACAAGACACTAAAACGTTTGAATTTGCCGGCAGGAGCGTCACCATTCGACAGAGATGGGAAGAGCTCGGTGTTGCTGCAGTTGTGTGGGACGCTGTAGGTTTTCAATTGTTAGACTTATAATATTAGTGTCCGTAGTTCTGTCATGTCTGTCATGTTGTCTACTGTTGGCATGGGCTCCTGGCTTGGTTAAGCAGGTGTGGGCTATAGGCCTATACACATTGAATATAATTTTGTACTCCATACTGGCCATAATTTATGAGACTGCATGCAAGTCGTGGTTTATACAGGGGAACCACTTTTCCGTAGGCATACTTGAAAAACGATGGGGTTCGTCGCAAGATCTGTCTCTCTTCTTTAGTGAGGCAGAGTGTGCAACGAGCCCTATAGTTCTAATAATTACCGAAAATGGGTCACTTAGGAGACATTCCCATAAGAACGTGCACAAAATTTACTGTCCCATAATCTAATATTCCCTAATCTGATGTGAACCAAACTTTGTATGTTTTCAATTTAGACCCTAATCTATCATCTCTCAAAATTTGGACAGTAAAATTCGGCCTCCTTCTGGTAGATGGGGCAGTAGGGAGACATTGAAATGTCTCCCTAATGACCGATGTCTCCCTAAGGTCAAAAAATTTACCACAAAATGTCTCCCTAATGACCTATTTGTATGAATAAGGTTACGGTAGGATGGTTGAAGTTTGGTTTTTAATTGTGAATTCAGAAGATGAAAGCATCGCGTTAATATTCTTGTCATAGAAGAGAGCTTCAATGCATGTTTCTGTTTCATACCTATAACAGGAGGACTAATATGTGCTGTTTTGTTTGAATTTGCTTTGCTCCTGAGGCGAGATTTTTTTTTAAGTTGACGCTCAGATCTGCCAACCTTCCGGATTTAGTACTGGAAAAAAAAATTAAATTTATTAGTTTGATATAGAAAGATTTGGATACCCGCACTTACAAAATAATTTTTACTCTGCTGTCTGAGAGACGGCAAAGTCCCTGATTCCAATTTTTGAGTTTTGGTCTTTGGCAGCTAGTGCTAGTGGTAAGGGATACATGTACATGTACCTCTTTTTTTTCTTTTTTTGGGCAAAAAACTTTTTAGGAGGGTATTCGGCCCCCCGACTTGAAGACCATTATTTGTTTTTGTTGAGACCATGCAGAAATACTTCCTTTTTTTCATCTTCCTCTAAAATTTGTTTTTAAAAAAATCTGAGCATCAAGTTATAAAAAAATGCCTGCCTAAGAAAGCTGAATTTCTTTTTTAAATATGTTTAATTCGGATGAAATGACATATTTCTTCAACTGTAATACTTTATCTCAAGCATGCTCCTCTTAAAGTTTTTTAAATTAAGCATAACTTCAAGATGCGCAAATATTCATATATTCATGATATTTGTGACTAGGAAGAAACTCTGTTTGCCGAAATTCCCTTTATTTTGCAATGTAGATTTCTTTCTTTATATCTTCGTTCTCTTTGATAGGCCGTAGTTCTTGCAGAGTATCTGGAGTCAAGTGTGAACGCTCAGCAACTTGCCATAGATGGGAAATCTGTCATTGAGCTCGGGGCCGGAACAGGACTGGCCGGCATCGTAGCAGCTCTCTTAGGCGGCAACGTGGTGCTGACTGATCGCAAGGTGGCCCTTGATCAGCTGCAGGCCAACGTGGAAGAGAACAGCCCAAAATCTAGTGGCAGAAGCGGGACAATTTCAGTTCAGGAGTTGAGCTGGGGAGAGAACCTGCAGGAGTTTTTGAAACCCTTTGAGATCATCATAGGAGCAGACATCGTGTATGTGGAAGACACCTTTCCCAAACTTTTGCAGACCATAGCTCATTTGAGCGACAGAGACACATTAGTGCTCCTGTCTTGTAGAATAAGATACGCAAGGGATGAACGATTTCTAGACATGATGAGACATCAATTTTCCATGGCGGAAGTTCTTCACGATAAACGCAGGGATATCCATCTGTATGAAGCGAGACTGCTTTGAATTTTAGATAAAAGGGCTTGAAACTTTAGATTTCAGAAAGATCAGACTAGTGTCTTTTGCATTATGAAAACCAGGATACATGTACTACAAGCAAGTACAATGACTTATCCCGTCTTCCATTGTACAGGATGTCCAAATAGGAAAAACACTTTTAATGCTAAAAATGACCTAGTGTTACATGTATTTTTATTTTGTCTCGTCTTTAAAGCACACTTAAAAGTGACTAATAAATAAGAAGGCCCTGGAGAACTTTAGACTTAGTACACTGTATTTCACATAAAAACATGGTCTTGAATTACTGCATGAAAATGTTTCAAATTATGCATAAGATGGACCCAAGTGATCAGTCCCCTTCCTGGTTCCAGTTTCCACCAATTTTACAATGAGCTGGGTGCCCCAGTTTTTCTCTCCTATACCTTTTGCCGTAGTTTGTGGTTTCCGAGCTGCACACGCTGAACATAGATATTGACAAATACGAGGAATCCCCAACAAAGGGCTAAATAGCTCAGTTAATAGTGAACAGAGTTGGCAAACCATCGGTTTGGTAGTCAGCATGTCGCAGGTTCAAATTCTGCTCCTGTCAATTTCTCTCATCTCTTTAAAAGCTTTCTCTGCAATAGAAAAACTAGTAAAATAAATAAAATGACATATCATTAACTAGTATTAATAAATGCCCAAGACAGTTTACTGGTTCCTATTGGTCAAAAGCTGATCACGGCCAATTTTGACAGTTATTAAAACATCAGCCAGCCTTAGGCTTGGGTAAATTATCATCTTCCAAAACCCAGCCGGTCTGAAACTTACTTGTTGAAGACCAACCAAACTTTTTACCCCTTAAGATTAAATACAAGAGACATATGACCAGTGTAAAATTACTTGAATCCCCCCCCATCACCAGTTTTCATGAGAAGCGAACTGATGTCTTTTTTTTTCACTGAAAATACACTTCCAAGTGGCTCACTCAAAGAGTAATAAACTAATTAAAATTTCCACCTGAAGACTTTGGTTTCAAAAGTCTGTTTTATATCAATTTAAACCCGCGTCAACTTTAAACAAAATATGCCGAAATTTCACAGAGCCACCGTGGCTCAAAATGTCTTGGAGTTGATTTTGACAAAATTCTTTTGCGACCAGCTCAGACATTTGTCAATCCAGCGAGCAGCATGACATCATAGACTCTAGACGTCTTCTCTTTAGTCACTTTCTGCCCTGATGAGTATGTGTACTTGCTCGACGTTTCTGTGATCTTGGTCACCTGACCCTCCACAGTTCTCTCCAATTGTCTCTCCTCGGTCAGGCTGGGTCCGATTGCCACAGTTTCCGGAGTTGTCGATTGCGTACCCTGATTAACCTTGTCAAGATACAGCACATTGTAGGTCCGTGTTCTTCTCTCGGCGCGGATCTTCTCGCCTCCAGAATAGATGTAAGTCTGGTGCTCTTCAGAGACTCTTGTCACGTGCCCTTGCATCACTTTCTCAATCTGCAGGTCTCTGAATGGGGCACCGCGTTCCACTCTCGATGTGCCCTGGTCCCCGGGTGATGACTGAGGTAAGATCTCCAGCTCCTCATCGGAGCTGGAATCGTCCGAGACCTGGATAACCTCTCCTTCTGCCCTGTGGGACTCATGCTGCAGCTGTAATGTCAAGACATCTGCTGCTGTGACAGGGTGTCGTGTTGAACCGGCCGCCGGGATGGGGTACGCATTGACACAGGGCCTCTTGGCTTCCGAGCAAATGCCTGCGGGAGGGACGGACAGGGTCGGCAACCGTTTTGGAGGGTGCACCCTTTGCCCACTTTGTTGCCTGATGGCAGCAGTGAAAGAAGCACCTTTGCCAGCACTTTTGCTGTTGTTTGTGTGGAGTACGGCGGTCCTCACCCTCAAATTCTCCTCACACGCATCCACCCGCCGTTGTTCCCTCTCTGTGATTTGCACTGCTTGAATTTGCTTGCTGCCAACTTTACTGGTGGAGCTGCCAGCACCAAAGTTGTCACTGCAGCTGACTTGTGGGCTGTTGCTGCTGACTGATGGATTACTGCTGCTGGCCGATGGATTACTGCTGCAGACTGACAGATTGGCGTTGCTGCTGACTGACAGATTTCTGTTGCTGCTGACAGACAGATTGCTGCTAACTGACGGATTTCTATTGCTGTTGACAAAGAGATGGCTGCTGCTGACTGATGGATTACTGCTGTTGACTGATAAATTGCTGTTGCTGCTGATTGACGGGTTGCTGCTGCCACTGACAGATTGACTGTTGTTACTTGGCAGGTGATAAGTGCTCCTGCCTACAGGACCTGTGCCGACCTCTGCCAACAAGGTTTGCCCCTCTGAGAGAAAGCTGTCCCGCCCGACCCCCTGGATGTGGTCCAGGTCCCTAATGTGCTTGGGGTGGTGGCTGCGGTAGTGGCTCCGCAGGTTGTCGCGCCGGTTGTAGACCCGGCAGCACCGCTGGCACCAGAAGTAGACCTTGGGCCCGTGGTTGATGGCAACGTGGCGGCTGAGGCTGCGCTTGTGCAGGAACGTCTCCGGACACTCTGAGCACTTGATCTTCTTGCCGGCGAGCTGGCCATACAGGGCGGTCCACTTCTTGCGGCTGCGCTTGTTGATGGGCCACATTTTGACCGTTTTCTGCAAGGAGATTAGTGAGGATAGACAAATATCAACGCTCCTCGAGTCAGTCTCTAGAAGTCAAGTTGATATGTTAAATCTGATGCAACTGTATATATATTCCTAGAATTTTCAGAAAAAGTCTTTTTTTTTCTACAGATCAGTATTGTATTTCTGGCTCTGTTTTTTTCCTTGTAAGCAGTTGTGTAAATCCAAGCCAGAGAGTGGGGATGGGGCATGGGAGATGACCAGCATCCTAAAACCTCAATTATGAAAAGCTGGAAGGCGGCAGGGGCAATGTTTAAAAGACAAAGGTACAGACCATGAAGCTCTGTGAATGCTCAGGCTCACAGAATGTGGCATTTAAAATTTCATTTGTTGTTGGCTGTTGGCAAATCTGTGTATCCCCAGAATTGTGTATTTGACGTAGTCCACTATTTGCTGGATTTGTGACAAAGGTCTCAGGACTACACAGAAGAAGTGTGCAGACCTGTGGTTTCAGCGAGGAGACTGATGGCTGATCTGGTTGCACATGCACATGTTGTAGTCTGTTGTCATTGCTTGGAGCATCTTGGAAGCAGTCCGGGCCCCATAACTGGGGAGATTTGGTCTGCAGATGAGGACAGCACAAATGATTTATAATTTTTTTTAAAATTTTCATTCCCAAATGCAAGAAAACCTCAACTTAACAAAATTTTAATTACCTGTCCTAACCCGGTCGGGAGTGAAAACAAATCACAAAAGTGACCCTGACCCAGTAAATATTTTAATAATGTTGAAACAGAAAATAAAAGCAGAAATTAATTTCAAGGAAATTGAAATGTACATAAAATGCAAATGAACTACAACCCTTATATGGCATTTGAATAACTTTCCTGGTTTTGCATAGATAGGCACACTATTAATTCATGATAATGTACCAACTGCTGCTTTTTTAAATACAGTCTAACCATCCCGTTCCTTCTGCTTGAAATCTTTCCTTATTTATTTAGGGGACAAGTGCCGACTTAAATTTGCCTCACAGAACTTTTCCCAGCTCTGTTTTCATCATACATGATCTATCAAAAAGTTGGCAACAATGACTGGCACACGTCACCAATCGATAAAAACTGTAAAAATAGGATGTGCAGGTTGAAATGAAATCAATATGAGATTAAATCAATAAGGAGGTCACACATCATAAAGAAGACTCCTCAACTCTGAATGAAGCATCCTAATCTACGTTCTGCTAGTCAACTTGCTGCCCCTGAATATCGCAAGCCACAGTCACTGCTGTCACATGACCTGAGTGTTGGTGACTAGTCCATGTACAAAGCAGAGCAGGAGAAAGACCTTTTGAGCGTCTGTGGCTATGCAAACTAAAAGGAGAAAAGGGGCGATTCACAAAAGTGCACCACCAACAGTTTGCAACATGGAGGGCAATCACAATGTGCAATACGTGTCGAGTCTTTCCAAAAGCATCGCCGTTCGGATGTGTATTGCGTACAGTGGGCACCGTGTTGCCGGCGCACTATTGTGAGATGCCCGTATTAAGTTACTAAAGCCTTCAGCCGGTTTGTACATAGGGACCCAAGTTTCCTTAGTGACTATTTGTTAACCACTCGTCGATTTTACCTGGTAACCCATGAATAAAGTAGGTACTGGGTACCAGGCAAAATCAGCAAATGGCCACTGATCGAACTCGGCTACAGGTGTGGAGCACTGACCACGGAGCCACCAGCATTTTGCTCTTCAAGTCCGTTATCCATCAGGGAAGGCTGACCATCATAATCATCTGCTTCTGAAGGCAGGTACTCTGGAAACAACTGAAACAAATAACGAGAATTCAAACTGTAACACATATACATATTTTTATATCTTATAATGAATTTATTTTTGCGTTAATCGCCAGTGGAAAAGTGTAATAAAATAAAAATAACATACATGTATGTTTAGGCATGCAATACTGGATAAGCCAGACTCATCAATCCAACGGCAAATTTCTGCTTAGTATGCCAGTGACCACAAGAAAAGAATATTCCTTTCAAAAGTTATCGATTTTTTTCATCATTTTCATGTGCGCAAAACACACCCTCTTCATTCTCCTCTTACAAACCTTTCCATTTCTCAAATTCACAAGAAAATGGCCATAGTCAATTGCCATCTTTTGAGGTTATAAATGTTGTGCAAACGCTGTAGACACCCCCTTAGCTTACTTGAGAGACCGGTTCTTCTGAGACATCTTGAACGTCACGTTTGTCAACGTTGGACTCAATTCTGCTGTTGAACCCCTCATCTTCGCTGTTGCATTCAAACTTCAACACGGTGGGGTCCATTGAATCAAAGTGTCTAATCTGACTGGGTACAGATAAACAAAATGACTCGGAAAGAATTATCAAACCGTTTCATTTTTTTCTGTATCGTCCACAAATTACCAGAGACTTCCTTCACACACTGAACCCCAATTTCCTAACCAAAATCCACCTTAATTAATAGGTCCCTGTTAAAATGTGTTGGTGTTTTAAGACACTCAAAACTGTTGCTGTTGTGACAGTCTATTAGGAAACTCTTTTGGAATTCTTTCTGAAACAGAAAGTAAGCCCTGATTATAGTAATGTCCATAAGTGTAACTTGGTGCACAATCACCCAAACTTTGCATGATCAGTCAATCTTATTGCACAATTTCTCGATAGTTCCCCCCATCATCACCTTTTATAACTCCCAGTTTACCTCCAGAAATGTGGGGTTCGACACTTTGTGGGGAGCGCAGCTGACGTCAAATCTCACAATTCTAGGGGTAGGCCCAATTCCCCCAGTGAAAAACTGTGGAAGTTGGAGATTTCAGGCAGGACCGACCAATCGCGCAGAGTGATTGTTTTGATGATCGTTCATGTCGGCCGATCGCAACCAACACCCATAAACGAGGAAGAGCAAGTACTTAAGTAGGCCTACTGCACAGACTTTCTCCTTCAGTGTCCACGTCTATGGTAATTCCTCCATGTATACTGCGCTATAGGCCTACTGCATGCTCACGACATCGGGGGCAAAAAGCATCAGCCAGGGCTTATTGACAAGTTCTACATTGTATTCCATACTTCGACATACAATTACAGAGTAGACAAAAACACAGGTAACCCTTTTGACCGAAGATGCTATCCGTTTAATCCATAGGCCCTGTGTGTCTACACAGATCTTTGTTATGCATGTTGGCCTCGGCAGCTGCGCGAATACATGTTTTAATATGCGCGACCCGCACGTGAAAGTGCTATAGCGCCCTCAATAAACACGACAGCATTTCGCGCCAATTCAAAATGGCTGCCTTTTCCACACACGTCAAGTCCAACCATGCCCACAACTAAACGGAGGATTTTCCATCGTCTCTTTTCTAGGTAAAGGTGAGTTCAGTAATTTGAAATCAAGTTTGCAGCGATGTGTTTGCACATACATGTACCTATACTTAGCAGTACGGTTCCTCGCCCTATAGCCTAACTGTTTTTTATTACTTTATTAGGCCCTATCGCGGTATTGGAAATTTTTTAAATTTTATGTTGCCAGTGAGTTCCCAATCGGCAATATTCGCCCAGGTAGTCAATCATTTATGGCCTGAGGATAAGTTTTATTGAAACAGAGGGAAACATTCTGCATGTTTCTGTAAGTTTGATAATATTTAACAATAGATGTACTAATAGCAATTTTCTCTCCGAAATTTGTAAAATATTCTTGGCAGCATCTGTCATTACCAGAAACGGGTCAAGTCGTCTTCGGGCCAAGTCGTCCTCGGGTCAAGTCGTCCTCCCACTAGTTGTGTGTCAAGTGTTATCTGTGCGTGTATTTTCTGTTTAGGTACATCCCCCAACGATACATAGAAGAGAATGGAAAACAAGATAGACAGACAGAAGACTCGCAGTACTTATTTATTCACAATTTTCATTCGTTTAATTTTTATACATGTAGCTCATAGTCTGTCATCGAAGCAATATGGGCTATTCACAGTGGTGCGCCTCCAAGAGTTTGCAACGTGTTGGCCGATCACAATGTGTAAAATTTGTCGACCCAATGCGCGTTTCGAAAGGGTCAACAAATTTTGCACGTCGTGATTGGCCAACGAATTACAAACTCATGGAGGCGCACAATTGTAAAATGACCGTATTCACACAAAAAAGTTACTTCTAGACCCCTACCCCCAAAATTGGGCAGTGTGAAGTTAGTTAAGCATTTGTTAGGCCTACGTTAATTCTTGTTTGACGTTCCACATTCATGGTTGAACAAGTAACTGTTTGATATTCGACGTCGAATAAGTAACCATTTGACATGTGGTGACCATTCAGAATGTACATCACTAGAAATAATGGAGGGCAAAAGAGAAAAAAAACAAGCTGTGCCACCTACATTTCCGTGATTTCAGGGCTTGTTTGAGCCTGGAAAAGGAGAGCTCCGTATACAGACAACACTTGCTGCCCTTGTGCACAAACCTTGTGAGACTTGTCTGAGTAAATGCTTGGGAAGTTTCTTAGCTCAATTTCACTTTGAAGGACATTACCACTCTCTGACAGCTGTTATAGCATTTTGAGGGAAAATTGGCATTGTCCGTATGTATGGAACTCTTTCCCCGAAAAACCCCATGCTCTCGGTTGGGAGGAGTCGTCGCTGATTGAGGAGAATAGTGACATCAGATACAATGTAATCTCCAGGCGGGGCATGGGGTTTGGGTATTTCATTTCAATTTGAGAAAAGTGGGATGTGATGCATTCTCTTTCCTACCCTGGTTTGCAAGCGAAGAACTCCACCGTCATGAAATAGGGTCAGTTAGTTGGGAAACCAGAAGCACGACTATTTTCCAGGGAAATCCAGCTGTTTTCCTCCCAGCTTTGGAGGATATTTCTTCAAAAGAAGTAAAGTCTAATCTAGGTTGGAATTCCATCTCATGAATGATTATGATTTCACAATGCCCAATGTAAACATGGTTAGAAATGACAGTCTGTCACAGGTAAACTTTCTAAGTCCCCCAAAATATGCACCGTGAGGAATCAATTGTCATGTAGGTACAAAAGTAAAAAACCTCTCAAAACCAGGGTCACGGTCCAGTACTGGTTCCCTTTTTTCTCTTTGTTTAGTCCATTTTTTGTGTTTTCAACAGGTAGCATCAGCGTAACAGCAGCAATGACTAACTACGTGGGTATCTATGAGCCCATGTGCATGATACAAGGCTACGTCAAGTACACCAGCCTGGAGATGGGTAACTCCAGCTGGAAGACGGGTAACCTGGAGCTGGCCAGCACCCCGACAGGACAGGTGGTGTGCGTGGTCAATTTTGGCATCGGCCCCTCCAAGAAGTTGGTGGTAGGTCACGATGTCTGTTTGTCAGTTGTCTTTCAAAGGCACATTTGATGTTTCCATTTTCAGGATGAGCAAAGAAATTATGCAAGATCACACAAAGTCCTGCATAATCTAAATGAAATGATTAAAAGTACAGTCTTTGAGGCAACAATATTATTCAAAATCTGTAGAAGGGTGCCTCGGAACAAACCTGATAAAGTTTCAGCTGTGTGAATATTTTGAGAAAAACAATGTTCTGGGATTTGGATTTCTGATCAGAGTTTGTTGACTCCTGTTTTAAATGAGCATTTTGCGAGTTAAAGTTCAACAAAATCTGTCACACTGACTTATCCGATTGCACATGAACATAATGATTTGAATTTCCCAGATTAAAGGCACTGTTGCTGTACCTCGTGATGCAGGGCAAGCTTTTGCATAGCAACCACCATCTCTGGAATGGACTGGTTCCTTATTCATTGAAAACATTGTATTGGTGCAAGGCGTCTTTTATGTATCGAAGCAAAAGCTTGCCCCCGGATGTAGCAACAGTGTCTTTAGTATGGAGAATTTACATTATGTTCCTGTGAATTTAAAGAACTCAGTGTACCAGATTTTATTCAAATTTAGTACTTGCAAAAGGCATGTTACGCCGGAATTCAGCATCTGGGATACATTTTCACATTCAGTCGAATGGAGCTACACAGTTTAACGCACTGAACTGACAAAATACAGTAACCTCGCCCATGTGTGTCAATGCTGGTGCGCACTTTTGAAAGCAATTTTTCAAAACGCATCTTTAGATGCATCTTCAAAATGACACCTTGCCAGAAAGAATAATTTAACCAAGAGTTTGGTCCCATAACTATCATTCAAGTAAATTTGTGTATGCTTTTCAACAATAATTGTGCTAGTTCCTTTTTGGAGAACTGCAAATGATGGGCCATACCTTGAAGAACACATTGTTCAAAGTGAAGGAGCTACAGACCATTTTTAATGTTTTAAATAGAGCTATATTTAAAATGTAGAGCACTAACTTCTAATTCTCCGCGTGGAGAAAATTTGACGCCATCCTGGGTGCAGACATTTTCAATCCAGGTGCATACTAACGTCAGCATGTATTTTGAATAAGATGCACATGTACAGAGCAGTGGCACGTGATTATTTAGGCCCACACCCACATTATTTTAAAATGAACATTTCCCTAACATTGAGCAAGATCGTTCGATTTCGTATGATGTCTTTCGAGGGCTGTCTTTCAATGAATAAGTTCAGCTAAATTAAAAAGTTCCTTTAATCACGTACATGTATGTTTCACCCCCATTTGTGTGGAAATTAATGACTTCGACCATACGCGGCAGTTGCTTGACCAGAATCTCGTGAACCATACGGAAATGTCCTTAGCAACTTGTCAATCCTCTGTTGAGCCTTCTCGTTTTGAAGACTTCAATTGCACAAAGTTAACAAATGATCACATTGAAACTCTTTGTATGTGCTCTAGAAGGTTTAAACCGAATAAAGCACTACAGACTCACGAAGAGAAATGCTACATAAATATGAAACTTAGCCTCAAAGTGGTTGCTAAGATGATAAATTATTTCCATTTCCAATCGATCACTTGGTCTTGTTTTCCACTAAACTTCTCACTTTCAGAAGTTTTCCCAAAGCATCGAGACACTGCATACGACAGGCCAGAATCTCAACTACACATCAAATCAGCTCTATCTAGCTAGATTTTCTTGTTCGACTTTCATGAGTTATATTTGATACTTCTGCGCAGAGCGATCTGTACATGTTTTACATGCACAAAACCGATCAAAACTGTGCACAGTACACTGCGGCTTGTTACACAAGTACCACGGTGTACATGTACACGTACAGATGCATGGATATTCTTGACGGAGCTGGTGTACGTGTTCATGTGATTCATGTTTGTATAGTACATGTGAAACAGGGGATATCCTGTGAATTTCAACATTTTCCTGACAATTTTATAATGACAGATAGGCCTCGGTTTCAGTAAAAAACTGTACTTCTGAGCAGTAATAAACTTCATGTTAACTTACTGTACTTCTGAGTTCATCATTCGTTCCCGGGTCACTTAATTCTTACGATCACAGCGCTGTAAGATTATACAAGATGAATGGAATCGGTGTTGAGTTAGGTCGATATGCAAATGCGTCCGGTCGGAAAGAGAAAAAATCTAGCGCAAAACCGTCAGCAAATTTAAAACCTTCACACCTTTCTCCTCCACAGCCCACTTTTGGAAACTTCAGGAAAACTTCAAATTCACTGTTTCAAGCCTTCAAAAATTGCATCAAAACGTAAACAAACTACCGTTTATGAAATGAGCTTTTCACAATAATCACAAGTTTTGACCACTCTGGTACTATTTCTCAATTTTTTTTCCCAAAACATGTTAGGAAAAGGCCTTATCTTACCATGAAAATGCGTAAATTTCATAAGATGAAGCAGCTGTTTGCCTGGCACGAACTACCATGGCCCTCATTACACATGCAAATGACCGCAAGAACGGGACATGCGCAGTTGATAATTTCCCTCTGAAACATATGTGTAATATGGCCGATTCACAATAGTGCGCCTCCAAGAGTTTGCAACATTTTGACCAATCACAGTGCCTGAAATATGTTTACCCAATGTGCGCGCATTTGGAAAGGGTTGACAGATTTAGCGCACTGTGCTTGGTCGACGCGTTGCAAACTCTTGGAGGCACACTATTGTGAATCACCTGTATTCAGTCAGTGTTAAACGAGTGCATCAGGTACTGATAAAATCCAATTGAAAACTTGTCATGGCAAAATTCATGTGCTGTGCATACGTACACGTGTTTGCATTTTTTTGGGCATAGAGCAAAATGAAATGCGCATGTACTGCATGTCACCCATGTGGATTCGTCGCATGGAGGCAACCAAATTTTTTGCTCATTCAATTGAAAATTTATCCCACATCACTCACTGCATCTGATTAAGCTCTCATGTGTAGGCCAAATGGTGCATGTACCATTTACAGCTCTTAAAGAGAACCTTTAAAAAGATCCATTTTTTCTCCTGATACTGTTACTGGAGTGGTTAGAGGAAGGGATAATTTTGCCTTCGTTAACCCTAACCCTACATAATGCTACAAATTACTACTTGTTGTAAAATGTGACTGAGCGCTGTCGCTTGTAAGAGGACATGACTTTATTGTTCTGTGAAGCCATATGATAAAATAGATAAGGCAATGTACCATACAGTGCTGTGACACTATGAATGCATGGTTTTATTGTTCTCTGTACAAGTAACAATGGAAGTAACCTAGCCGAAGTAGTAATCTGTAGCGCTAGGTCCTTCAGGCTCAGACTATTACTTAGTATTTGGTAGTACTGTGTAGTGTAAGCCAAACAATATGCTTGGCGGTTAGGGTTAATTAAGATTTTAGACATGTAATCATAAATTATCAGTTTATGTACATGTAATCATTGTGTATGTAAGCAAGGTACATTTTTTCACACTTCTAATACATCTGTACATGTACATGCACCTGTCTTCATTCACAACAATGTTGAGTGAGATACGAAAAGCAAGGACACAGTCTACTCTTTTTGACCCTGACTACCCTAAACCTGCCACACTCCAACAGCAGGTTTCGTGAGGTTTTGGCAGGTTTGGTACTGTACCTGAGGAACTTCTTGTTGAATTTTGTGAGACTTGGGATGAAAGGCCCAGGGAGATAGTGTTGGATTCTGTGCGAGTTGGGATGCACCGGGATCATTGTGTGCAGTGTCTGGCTTGCTGTACCAATTGTTGGACTATGCTTGATTTTTTCAGGTTTGGTACTGTTCAGTGCAAGTCATCCTATACTGCATAGACCCATCCATACCATATCACTCAAACTCCAAACAGATTCATTCTGTTGGAGTTTATCAGGTTTGGTACAGTAACCTGCATGTACAAGTACATAGACAAGTACATGAACCTGTTGGATTTGGTGAGGTTCAGTATGCTTTCTAGTGCAGGAGACTGGGGGGTTAGGTAATGCGTGAGGAAAATGATAAAGAATAGCATCAGTTGATTTGGTAGAATGCAGACTTTTTCTGCCTCCATTTCAAATGCATGTTTTTGCCAAGTCGCTGTTGCTTGACTTCAGTAGCACTGTGACCTGGTTTGAAGAAAACTTTTATCAGGGTATTCTTGATGGGCTGAAATGAGACAAAAGATTTGGGAAACTTGTCCCAGTGATTATTTCAGTTGTCGCTGTCAAGGTGTGCTGCCATTCCTAGTGAATGCAATCTCAACCAATCGTATCAATTCTTGTACTTTAGGTTACCAATCAGATCAAAGGGGTGATCTTCAACCACCACGTTCCCCGCTGCAACATCAGCCTGGCCACCGGTGCCAACATCAACTGGAAGAGCAAAGTCAATGGGAAGCCAGAGCACCCAAACCGGCCCAGTGAAATCACCCGCTTTGCCGATATTTTGGAGGACTTGCACAAGGCACGCAAGAGAGGTGAGAATCTCTTTACAGTGGAGCGTGCACATCGTCTCCGGCAGTAAACTCTCATTGAGTCAAAATTTTATGACTCAAAACCCATTTTATCTTGAAGTCTACTTCATTCCCGTCAGGAGACTAATTTTCAATTGGATGTTTACACCATGAGAAGATCGCACAATTCAGTTCATGCCATCAAAGAAGAAATTTTGCAGTTTTACAACGAAGGGCGTAGTTGCCACATGAGTTCAAAACATGGTAAGGCAGCAACATCAAAAGGATAATTGGGAAATAGCAGACCTCCCAACCCTCCCGATTTTTGCTTAGAATTTCTGCTTTTACACTTCCTTTCCGTCATTCTGATTTTGCCCCTAAAATTTCTGCCAAATCACAATTTTGACATGCTTCTCATTTATCGTAAAATGTCCACATAATGTCGTGCATGGACTGTACTGCAATGCGCCACATCTGTGGGAGCACCCTCTTTTGATGCATACTTGCCTTATTGGATGTGATCACGTGATAAAACGCCCTCTATTGACAAGCTACATTGTAACTAACACTGTATGCGTTGCACGGTGCCCGGTTTCGCTCGGAACCACAGCTAAGAACGCCGGGATAAAGGAGTTCGCATTCTTGATAGCCGATGTTGGGAGATCTGGAGTATTTCTTAAAATGTCAGCTTTTGAATTATGGGATTTGTTTGTGCCATTATCCAACAGATAAAAGGCCCAATTCTTCAGCGCAGCTGAGCCTCATGTCCCCTCAGTCACAAGTGTACACTCCAGTCAAGCAAGTAAGTAGAGTATATATTCATCTTTCTGAATTGCGTTTTTCAGTTGGTCGGTCTATCCGTCAGTTGTTCTGTTGCCAAGTCAGAGTTGATTCAGTCATGGCCGTAGGTTTTCATACGTTTTAACATTCTGACAACCAATGAGTATGCACGTACCATGTAAGTTGGATTCTGTTTTAATACCTACTGGTACATTCAAGTGCAGTGTGTAAACGCTAGCATCCTCATTTAATTGTGTCACAGTTTGCCATTTTGGCTGTCCATAAAGTAAAAGCACTCAAACTTTTTGGTATAAATAGGAAAAAAGTGCACTAATTTCACTTCATTTTATTGAAAGTAAATTTAACGCTCTTTGCTTTTGTATTGCCTCATACCCGTCCCTGTTTGCAAGATGCATGCATTCTTGAAACTTACCCCCTCCCCTTGTGCATTTGTAATCAATCCTCTAAAAATGGTCTCTTGTGTTCCAGAACCTAGGAGGAAGGAACTCGCTGGTCAACCACCCGGAAAATACTGTCCCAAGAACTCGCATATCTCCGACCACGCCCAGAAGTTCTGCGGCACTGACGCCCTGGAACCCATCCACCCCTATGGGGACTGCAGGCCGAACCTCTCCCAATCCCATGACGACCCCCAGCCACATCAAAGCCGCCATGGGCCTGGTCACCTCTGAGCCCAACCGGGGCTGGGAGAGCAGAGAGGGGGACAGCACGGGCAGCGACGATGCATCTGCAGACCTTTTGTCGATGATGTTCATGGGCGAACAGATGGACGGCGACAAGGAGAACATCGGCGCAAAAAATCACATGTGAGAAAAAAAACAAAAGGACTTTGTATAGCAATAGAACACCTCCGACTTGTGGACGTTCTGGTTCTTTTGGGCCTTGGTACATTCTTGGCAGAGATGAACACGTGTTTGCCTCTCAGCTTTGGCACTCTGCAAGTATTTGTAGTCAGACGTCTTGACATGAATACGTTTGATGCTCTGAAGTCATTTCTGCTGGGAACCAGCCTGTGTTCCCAGTTCCACCAGTGCAAAATCCCTAGGGTTGTCCTGAAAGGCAAACAGGGACAGTTTCGATGCTTGCCGCGCTAAGCTCAGAGGTCTCAGTTAAGAATGCGCACGTGTCTCCAGCAAGCTTCCTAGCTTACCAAGAAATCTGCCGACCACTGGCAAAGATTTTTGTTTTGCTTTCGTTAACCTGGTATTTGCAGTGGAAATCCTTTTGATAAGCATTCTGAGGTGTTCAAGTGAGAGTCAAATGTTGGCTAAGTCAGCTCCCTTTTTGGTTTATTTGTCAGTCTGTTAAAGGTTCCAAGACTTACATGCACCAGGAAAGGTATCATGGAAGTTGTCCAGAAGTAATAACTTTGGCCCGGCGTAATCGTATCAAGTGTCCATCTTGCCAGAGTGTTTCTTCTGTGCATAAATGTTTAGTTTAAAGGGAGTGATTTTAAAATTTAATAAAGGTTTTCTGAAATAATGTGGCACAAATATCACAATGTTCCCCATCTGAAAAAACACATATCAGGAAGTTTGCATAGATCCAAGACTTGTTATGGATGACAGGTGGACTTTTAACTTTTGTAAGAGGCACTGTTGCCACAGATTTGAAATAAATACCTCAACCAATTTTATTTCAAATTGTTTAAAACCATGCAAGTTACAACTTTTTAAGGAGAGACCCAGCCCATTAAAAAAACCAGTTCCCTGTTTGTTTTATTTGAATTTAAATTTGGGCCCCTTGGATTGTTTGCAAGAAAGGTTTACCTTAATCTCGCAGTGGACTTGATTTAAACTCTATCCATTGCAGAACGCCAAAGATGGGTGGAGCTAGCAAGAGCGTGTACCAGATGCGGAAGGAAGAGGGCGGGTCCCTCTTCATGGCTTCGTTTCAGGAGAAGCAACTTCAGCTCGAAGAGAGGAAGGAAAATAGTGAGTGGTATCCAGCGCCTTCCCTTGTCAAGTTTGTGGAGTCGTTTTTCTGAATCCACCAAGTGCAATGAAATTATTTACTGTGAGATAAAAAGAAAATTATCGCCTACCATTCCTTACCCAGGCTGAGAATTATAAATTCATTATCTGAGAAAATTATTTGCATAAAATTGCAAATTCCACAACCGTCAGGGCCCGTAACTACTAAAGTTCTTTAGCAGATGATTTTAAAAAAACTTTTGATCGCTTTGAAGTTTAAACTTCATCCTGAGAGAGACGAATAGTCCAACATTAAATGGATTCAGCCCGGGTTTGAAATGTTGGGTCACAATCAAGTCTTGAATCAAGACAGCTTGGCTTGCTGCTCATTTTAGGGACTCGGTCAGTATTATATTTTTTAGAAACGAGAAATATTCTCCACTTTACCTTGAGGTAGTCGGCTTGGTCAACTGTACAAAAATGAATTGTTACGTGAAACATAACTTCCAAAAGGAAGTGCGATTGGAAGTTCAAAGAACAATGCAGAGGCAGCTCAGAACTGGTCAAATTCCAGATTCAATTGATATATACTATATTCCCATTTAGCTGCTCCAAAGCCTGTTTCTAGTGTGAAGGCATTTTACAGTAGAGGGCGCCAAGCACCTGGTTTCACTGCCTCAGATGCACTCCTGCAGCCGAGGTAAGTCCAAGGTTTCAGGCTGTCCCAAATTGACCCAACTCTGGCCTGAAAATATATAATTTGTCATAACAGTCGTCAAATTTATGCTGGATTTTATGAATTTAGATAACGTAAGTCTTAATAGAATCACACCATCTATTTGAAATCACCAAGCACATATTTCAAAAACCTATCACATCGGTCCATCAGTCAATCAATTCCCAACCAAAGACTGCTATAATAGAAAAGTTCTGATACTGACAAAAAACACGAAGAAGTGTATGCGAACTAGTCAGGGTTATAACCAATTCATTTTCCACAAGTCTGGTCGCAGGTCAAGTAACTAGTCATTTTAAGTTCATCTGAAGTCAAAATTGACATGTGCTTCCACACTTTTTCCAGTATGCTTTCAAATTCGGATCAGGTCATCTGTGAAATTTGCTAACATTTTGACCTGTCTTCCTTCTTGTCATCATAACATACTGAGATTTCTCTTAAAATACTCTAAAGCATCAAGAAAACAGGCTTGCTTTTTAGAAGGTCAAGACTTTTTGGGCCTGCATATTTTTTTTCCTCACATTTATTTTGACAAATGTTTGTAAGCCTCTCTGCTCTGAGCAGAAGCACCCCCTCATTGGTTGAAAAAGAGCCATGCTAGTTGAGAGTGTATATTTTGTTGGTAGCAATAACGTATTGACTGCCATAATGCTAAAATCTTTGACTTCTTAGAATAATTTGGATTAGTAGGTTTTGTCATCATTATGGTAAGAGTCTAAGGGAAGATTTGCATCATAACAAGCGTGTACATAACGCCACATATGTACCAGCACAGGCTATACTGTAAGCGCTCATGCCAAAGTACAGTACGATAAAGTTTCAGGTTTCGGAGGAGACCTTACAGATCCCTAATCCTCAATGTGGACATCTGTGCCTCATTATCACCCTGTACCCCACTGTATTTGTTAACTTCCCAGGCAAACCAACACCAATACTTCCATCAAGCGGACCCCTGGTTTTCTCAGCCTTCCGCAGCCCAAGAAGCCGTGCTTGGGCAACAAGTACGTGGGCTGGAGCCAGCGAAATGTCCCAACAGCCGTCAAGACATCTCAGGTCTCCCTACAAGGGTGAGTCTGAGATTTTTCATGGAGCTGTAACTATTTATTTGCTCCTGAATTAATCAGTGTGAATTATTCAGTTACATTTTTCTATTGGGGCAATCAAACACCATTATGAAATACAATAGGTTTCCTGTCAGACTGCGCAAGAGAGTGGCTGAAAATGTAAAAAAGGAAAAACATCAAATAGTCCATGTGCAAAACTTGTCCAGAAAGGTTCAAGTGGATAAAGTTTACCATTTAAGCTCTCAACTAGTGCTGCAGCCAAACCACCGATCCGAACCAAAAGTCATAGAGCATGGCACTTTTGAACTGAACCGAACCAAACTGATCGGTTCAGGTGTTTGGCTTTAATATGGCATGGCATTGATAGCGCACAGAATGCATTAAAAAAACTTGATAAAAAAGGCAAACAACGAAAAATGGATAACGAGTTATGCTGCATGGGTGCTCGGCACATGTGCATGTACACCTGTATTGTAAATGTACATGTACAGTAAACTTGCGATGGCCCCGCATCATTCGATGTATGTAAAAAGGATGTGGGAAGAGTTGTCTAATAATCAACTGAGAATATGCGATGTACAGCATTTCCGCTGCATAACGCTGCTATTAAAATTCTCACTAAATCCAGTCGTGCTAATGTAAATGCATATTGGGATATTAGCATTATGTTTGCCAATCTCCGACAGCAATGCCCTTATGTTCCATATTAGACCAGTGATGTCATAAATGGTTCTGCAAAATGAATTTTGATTGGATGCTGATCATAGTTGGACTCCTGCTTGGTCAAAGGTAACTCTGGAGGGAATGCTGATTTTGCCAGGCAGCCAGTGCAGCGCTCGAGCGAGCGATAAGATTTGGTTCCCACGGTGGCCTAACTTGCCTTTGGTTTGATCGTGTTTGATCAAAGTTGTGGTGTGAATACTTTGTAATGAAATTTTGCTAGATCTCTACTTGTTGGCAAATATCACAGAACAAAATGCCATTATTCGTTTGAAAAAGACTGATGGAAACTCACCCCTTTGGCCATGTGGGCACCGTCCTAGGAAAGAATGCTGACGTGATACCTGGGTTCTTTGAATACATTGAATGTCATAGTTTGGTAGTTGAATCTGCTTTGCGAAAAAGAACCAAAATACAATTCGCTCAAAATCTAATTCAATCTTGTTTCCTGTAAAGGAGGTAACTCCCATTTGAGCATGCTGTTTTTTTTCTGTTTTCACATATCGTATGATCGTTTTGTTTAGTCAAGCGTGGTCCAAACACAACCCCTTTAGGTTGGCAAAACGGAAAATGTCACACCTCCAACTGTAACTTTGCATGGAATTTTAATTCCTAAACAAACTTTGGGGAAAAAAATGTGTTCAAATTGAACTTGCCCGTTGATCGGGATGTAGAGGAGATTGATTGCTTGTAATAACAAATTTTATTCCTGGAAGTACTACGTCACCTTTGTAGCAAACTCTTCAATGTTTCAATGTACATTGTACATGTACGTACATGTGTATACATGTCCGAACCCTAACCAAACTGAAGTTTGGCAAAAAATATCCGAACTGTGTCCGAACCGAACCTTGGCACCTACTTGCAGCACTACTCTCAAAACAGACGATAAGCTAGTTTGTTATTGTCAATAAACTTTACTTGAAAATCGACATACATGTATGGAAGAAATTGGCTGTTCAATTCATTGAAACAGTAATCCAAAATGGAATGATTAATGATTGAAAAAAATAATCATAAATTTGTGGGCCTAATCTGAACCTGATTGGGGACTTCGGTCATTCGTATCTTCAGTGGCAGTTATTTCCCCACTTCAATAGAGGACGCCAATCTTGGGATTTCTCATTCACTTGCTTTATGTGGACCTAGTAGCTCCTTGCTATGTTTTGACCAGTAAAAGAGAACAAGATGAGTTGGTTAGATTTAGGGTTTTTTTTTATCAATTTCATCAGCAGCTTTGATTATAAATCCCTGATGAACTATTAGGTTTGACTTAGCCATTTTTTCATCTGTGACAGGTTTTCTAATCTGGGCAATACCTGCTACATGAACGCAATCTTGCAATCTCTGTTCGCCCTAGACCGCTTCACCATGGATGTACTCAACGGCAGTCTCCTCCATCTCATGCAGAAAGACAGTCTCTACAAGTGAGAATACTCCTCAGAATTTCTGTTTCAGGCCCAAATATTGCTGTTCATAGCCGTGTTCAAATGACTTGGCAGCGACTTAAAATTACACATGAGTATGTGGGAGTGGCTGCAACCAGTTCCCATAGAGTTGTGTAATTGTAAGCCGCAGCCAGTTGACTCACATGCGGCTTATCTTTCACCTCTCCATGAAGGTATACCCTACCACATTTGAAGTTTGGTGCATTTGCATGTCTTGATAAGGGTTTAAATATGTGCTTGGCTGGTCTTAAACATGTGTTAAGACTGAATCAGGAGAATGGACATGACTAAGCGTTCAGTCTCCTGAGCCGGTAATAAACTACCGGCCAAAGACATATTTATTCCCATTCATAAATACCTTTTTAGTCAGAACGTCAAAAGAGGTCAAAATATGAGGAATTTCCAGCGATTTTGTTCGAGAAGTTTATTTTCATTTTCCCAAACATCCCCTGTCTATTTTATGGAATATTCCTTGTACAAATGGTCCAATCGGTGCGCATGGCAAGCAGCGTGCAGGCAGACTTGTTACTGATCAGAATCAACTAAATTGTCTTGTATCCAGGTGCCAACGCGTGATTTACACAGCGGGCATTATCACTTCTCAGTGGGCATTATCAAATGTTAATACACAGTCAAGTTGCACGCTGTTGAATAGGGAGACTGTCTGAGTTATTTATGAAAAATAGTTTAATTTACAAAGCTAACTTGACGTACAAGTTTATGTCTTTACAGAAATGCACTTAGTAACAGCTCTGATTTTTATGCTTTTAAAACAGATGAATAGTCACAATTAAATTCAGCACATTGATTTTAGCTGGCTGTTCTGTGCCACTTGTAGTTAGATCATGAATATGTATGAGGCATAGGGACTAATTGTTGAAAAATACTCTCATTCAGGGCGCTAGCTTCCCTGTTTTTTGCCAAACAACGGAACCAATCCCCCGACAGGGTGGGGACTCACCTCCGTCGGGTCAAGCAAGCGATATCCTCCACGGCAACCAGGTTCTCTGGGTTCATGCAACACGTGAGTTCAAAGATTTGTTATTTTTACTGTATGTCAACAACTGAATTGTTGAGTCCAATACTTGCTTTAGATGGGTAAATGACAACTTAGAGAGTGTAAAATCAAATGTTTAAGGAGTTAACTCAACGATTTAAGTGTCATCAATTCATCACTTTCCAAATTTTGCCCTGAAATTTATCAGTTGAATTAATGGTCACCATGCTGAAGCTAAAGTTAAAAATGCTGATTGTAACATTTTAAATGCTGGCTTCAACTCTTTCAAAGTGAAATCATTTGTGTTGGATTTTTCAACACTTCAATTTTTAATGCCTGAAGTTAGGCCATTATAGCCAGTTAACGTCAGATTTTCTTACCTAAAAAAGCTGCTGGGGACTTGTTTTTCTGCCTGCAAATTCTTGAACTATGCATTTGCGCTTTGACCCAACTAAGCATGATGCGTTAATATGTGAACTGCGGAAATAAAATCAAAAATTCTAAACGAGTGTAAACGTCAGCCATGGAACAAACAAGGAAAATTATGTGTATTTATACATCATCTGGCATCAAGTGGTTAGACATGTGCAGTGCTAGTCTTGTCTGAGAAGGTTGAGTTCATGCACACATGCTGGTGCTCTTGAATGACCTTACGATGCACCTGATTTCGAGCATGTGTTGTTGAAGTACCAAACTAACTCTTGACCTTTAGCACTTGACCCTTTGACCCAAAGGATGCCCAAGAGTTCCTCTGTCAGTGCCTGGACCAACTCAAGGAAGATTGGGAGGAGGCCAAGCAGAAGACAGATGCCCCTCCCGGTGACAGAAGCCCACAGACAGAGGGGAAGGAATCCCTGGAGGATCCCCACCCCTGCCCAGTGGTGCAGAACTTTGAGTTTGAGGTGCTACACTCCATCGTCTGCAAGCAGTGCGGGGAGGTGGTCACCAAGGAGGAGCAGTTCTACAGTCTGTCACTGGACATGCCCAGAAGGAGGTGAGACCGGCAACTGATTGCCATAACAGGTTTTTTTTAGCTGTCTTTACAAGGGTTACTCTTCAGAAGGTTTCAGTGCACTTTTAGAATCTCCATTGAATTAATATGACAAGGATGAAATGCTAGTATTTATTTTTTCATTTTGTTCTTGTGATCAGACTAGAAAGTGCCACAAGCTCAGTTTTCATTGCTTGAGTATACTGAGTAATATCTTGCCAGTAGCAAATAAGATGACATAAAAAATATCATGAAGCTAAGAGTGTCTTGTAATGGTTGTTGAAATGTTATATTTGAAATGGATAGTATTTGCTTAGATAGTATTTGCTTGTCGGGAGGGGAGGGGGGACACACAACGGTTTGGTCAAATGTGCGCGAATAGAGCCTGAAAGTTGACCCCCGATGGCGCGCTTCTGGAACCCTTGGATAGGAAAAATAACATGCAAAGATTTTAGAATTTGTAATGTTTTTTCGCTCAGTTACAACTTGGAAAAAGGGCTTTGGAAAATATTTGCTAGTATATCAACTTATAGAAACTGAAAATTTACCTGACCTAAAAGAGAAATATCCTGCCAAAAATTGACCCACCACTTTGAAAATCTAAAGTACATGAAGAACAGTCCAATGTGGCAGTCTCGTGCGCAGATGAACATTTACAGTTTGAAATTTTATGGTAGTCTGGTAGAAGCCGAAATAAAAACATCAAAAATTTCACAAACTTTTTGGATATAAGGTAATAAACTTATAGCAATAATTTACGTTTTTGAAAGATTCAAATATTTTATTTAACCTTTGTTGACAACAACTGCGTTTTGTCAAATCAAAACATGAAACCTGTCAACTACAAGTAGGTAAATCTTTGCAACGTACAATCTCGTTTACACGTAAGCACAGGGAGTGAAACAAACATGCATTAACGAGGAGACCTAATTACGATATCGTCAGATGTGAAAGGTCGTTGATGGAATTCGTTTTTTACCCATCTCCAGGTGACTTTTTCTAAATACTTCAGGAAGACATACGTAAAATTCCAACATGAGTGTTTCTTGGGGTGGTGTCAGTTAGGAATTATTCGCCCAAAAATTATCGGATAAGATAGGACAGCCCAAAGTAAAATCCCCATGGGTGGAACGCGTGAGGGTTCCGGAAGCTTGCTGCGTGACCTTTTACGTTCAGGCTCTATTGTGCTTACATTGAATGCAGCCTGTTGTAGTAAGCAAAGGTAATGTAAAGGTGTGCATAACATTTGGCAAGACAGAGCACCCTGTCGGTCAAAGTGGTATTAATTAAATTTGGACATGTGTACCACCTGTCAACAGGGCGTGGTGCTACTGCAATCATGGCTTCTAATTTGGGGTGCGGAATTAATCTTTAGCCCATCACAGAGGGTCAACACTTCCAACTGCACGGGACGTGCAAATTAGACACACACAAAATGGACTTCAAAATGTATTCACCATTTTCCAAATAGTATGCTCTACTGAAAGAGTGTCACTTTTTCTTTCCTTGAATTTGTCCAACAGTTCCACCAACCCTGTTGGGTCCGTCCAGACGGCACTTGAGCAGTTCTTCCATGCCGAAACCATTGAGTATGCCTGCAGTGAGTGTAACTGCAAACAGGCCACCGTTACTCATACCTTCACCAGGCTACCCAGGTACTGAACACTATGGTAACCTCGTCCTGCCGGGCCCATTTACCCCTGTTAATTCTGCTGGGCCGGGTAATTTTTCATTTTTTTCTGTTTTCAAAATTCTTTGAAAAATTCATAACTTTCATTTACTTGACTTTTGTACACCTACACAAATGACTCTCTGGTGTCTACTCTAATCTGACAGATAACATCTATCGACGCCCAAGTATTTCAGGCAGGCCTGTAAAAAGAGCCAAGAATGTGCGGTGTTATGTAATTTTCTTTTGTTCCTGAAACCAGCACAGTGCGCTGCTGACGTCTTTTCAATAGGGGCCAGATTAGCATGCAGCGGTATTGTATTGGTCATCACTGGCATGCTTTTGTCCCCGGTGAATAACAGAAACATTGGTACCATTTTTCAAAACAATTATGGATTTCCTCCGCTACTGACTACTGAAAAAATGTTGGAAATTCCTAGCAGCTCGGTCTTTTGTTCCGAGTACAGTCTTTTATTACAAGGCCCAGTTCCCTTTGTCCGATTTTGGGCCCCCCGTCTGTGCATGTAAAGCCAACGTCTCCGAAACCGGGCTCCCCAGCAGCAAGTGGTTAAAGGGCCCAAGTGGTGAATTTTTCTTTGAAACACTTTCCTGTTCTACTTTATTCTCCTCTCCAGTGTGTGAAAATTATTTGACGTCCCTTTTGGGTTACATTTAATGAAAAGTATATGCTTTTTGAGGGCGCTGTTGCTGTGTCAATTTGACTTTTTTTCAAAGTTTGCTCTGTGAAAACTTGCAAATTGTTGGACCTACAAAAGAAATTGTTGGAGCCTCGCATGTTATTGCAGCTGCCCTTTAAGACCATTGTATATTGGATGCCTAGAAGGCATCTGAGTTGTCTGATTGGTCCATTGTCCGTTGCACGACATGAATTATTCATTCCAGTGAATGACATGCACCTGCACCATATAAACAGTGCATTAGAACCATTCTCAGAACCTTCTCACTCCAGAGTTAGAATGAAAAACAGCATCGGAGGATGAGGATTTAGTCACCAATAACAAATGGTTTACGTTCATGCAATGGAAAAAATAGATTTATGAGGTGACAGATGGATTGTTCCATTCCATGAGGCTCACAGAATGGCATATTCATGCACCTCATGTCACGTCACCATATAAACTTATGATTTCCCTTTTTCACTTATAAACAACATTTACATATTATGATAGACCATAATTCACAAGCACCAACAAATGCATATATGTATGAGCATGCTGTTAGTCTCAGTTGTTTCACAAACTGTGATGGTCATCAGGTTCGGTTTGGAAAAGTGTGCCATCTTTGCCCGTATGTTGGTCCTGAGCATAGGAAGGATAACAATATTTCGTTACCGCTTGTTTCCTTGCTTGCCTTGATTTTCCTGATTCTGTGTTTGGTCGTAGCATGTGCTGTGCTTGAATTCAAGACGGTTTCAAGTTTCAGCCTCTATCCAGCACAATTCCTCCAAAATAGACTTTACAGTTTTGTTTTTGAGAATTCTTGTGCCCTTCAAGCAAATGGGCTGACGCCATGGATTGATATGCATACCTGCACTATTTTATAATCTACACTGGGCATGCACAGTTTATTAAGATATTCAGTGCTCCCAAGAAAGTCAAACTCCTTCATCAAAACAGGTTTCAATTATGGAGCGTAAAATGACACTGTAAATCACTCCTCATCAGTCGCTGCGGTGGTAAACACTTCCCCAAAGGGAAAGGAGTTCTGTAAAATCTCCCGGACTTGGCATTTAATCAATTCTGTGTTTCCCAGCTAGGGTCTTGTGAAGAAATTCTGTAATCAGTGTAGCCATGAATTACATCTTCCAATCGGGGCTGTGCTGATTGCACAAATGTTTGGATAGTTTTTCTAGAAGATTTGAATATTTATTTTTCAAATTAAATATTCAGAGGAGAAAAATCATTGAAAAAAAAGGAAAAAAGTCAATTATATGCTTTAGAAAATTGCATTCTAAAAGCATTCCTAGAGGTGTAGCCAGTTTAATACATATGCCCAAAAATAAGGTCAAAATATAACTTTTCCTTCAAGTTTTTCTTTTTTACGTTGTGTCAAAACATTTATAATTTGTTTCGGCTATTGTTGGAATTTTTCTTTCACAACTGAATATGTGATCAAATGGCTGGTCAGACATTCGTATCGTCAATTATTTGAATTGGCTGAGCTATACACTTGACTTGCCCTCGCCCCATTTCTGTGCAGAGTAATGATCATCCACCTGAAGCGATACCGCTTTGATGTCGATGCCGCTCAGAACTCCAAGCTGCGACGCCGGATTCTCATCCCCAAGTACCTTTCCCTCCTCTACCATTGCTCCAAGGTGACGCAGGGTCCTGCATCCACCCCGAAGTCGTTCATCAACGGCACAGCTAGCCCCCTCAGCAAAGAGAAGACGCAGCGGCCATCCCTCACGGCCCTGACAGACAGGAATGCGGCAGCCATTGACCAGTCGGGGAGGCCTTCACTTTTCAGCTTTAAATTGTCACGGAAACGGTTGGAGTACGGCGACGGCAATACAGGGTAACCTTGAATTTTTTGTATTGTACTTGCGTAATTCATGAATAAACAAACAAGCTCCTTATCCCAATATTATAAATCCCACATCTAGAATTATTTTAGTTTCTTAAGCAAATGCATCTTAATAAAAACCCTCCTTGCTAAAGACTTTTTCTGTAGTCTTTCATGTGGCAATTTTTTCTTTCATACAAATTTTAGGTAACTTTCTACCCCTTTACAATCAGTGTATGAAGGCCATTTCTGTTGGAAAATGATTTATTTAAACGTGTTTTCTGTGCTTTCCTCATACATGAGGGCAAATGCTGCGACAACCAGAAGAATCTGTTCATTGGAAGAGATTTTCCTTCTCTACCGAACCAAATTTTTGTTTACTTATTGAGAGGTCTACTATCATGATCTGAAACAACAGATCATCAAAGAAAAGAAAAGTTTAAGACAGCAAAAATATCCCAAACTCTGATAAATCTGTGGCTGAAATAACTACATGTACAAAATTGAGATCCTTCCCAGGATGACCCTTCACTTCTGCTCATGAATACGCAAATTTTAATAAGCCCAAAAACCCAAGAAGTTTTCAAACTACCCTTGAAAGTGGCAAATAAAATTGTTAAAAAAACTGGGTTGCATGGACATTTTAAACTGCCCTTCTCGACGCTCTTCTGGTCAACTCTCCTTACAGCAACGAGACTAGAGAAATGACTTTGCTATAACCAGGTTTTTGTAACAAAAGAGGTACATGTAGAAACGCAAACAAAACACAAGAATATAAGAAATTGGTTTTCTCAGAAGTTGCTCTTTAAGACAGCATTTTGTCAGAGCAGTGTTCTTATAAAGAGTAGATTGTACTTCCATATATTTAAAAAAAGCTTCAAAATTTGTAGGCAGTGGTACATCTGTATGTCAGCGTGTTGGCTTTTCGTCATCATTTACACATGCAGGAACCAGCTGGGACGCACGGTTTTCTTAGACAAGCTCCCAGACTCGGACACCGACGAGACACAGCGTGCCCTGGAGATGAGCAAGAGGGAGGCTGAGAGGGCGGAGTTAGAGAAGGAGAAGAGACAGAAGCGGGAGCAGGAAGAGCTGATGAAGGTAGGGCCCCAGCACGTGGAAACAGTCACAGAAATGGGCCTGCTTGATCGCATCTTTGCAATAGGTCCTCTTGTACACAATTTATCGCGCAGCATAATTGTAGTTTTTTACAAACTCCACCTGAAAAACTGCATGTGGCCACTGAGTCCATTGTTTCACAGGAGTGGATTTAAAAGTCGTTTAGTGTTATGGACGGAGTCAATTCATGTTAAACTGTATGGAGTGTTTTCTCTGCAAGGTAAACTGTAGTTCCTGTATATGCTTGCATGTCGTTTGTGAAATCTGAAGTCATTCACTCCATGTCTGTTTGCAGAACGCATGCACGCCACTGTGTCAGTTTATGAAACCAAAGTTAATTTTTATGTGATTTTTCATAAAGTGCCCATGGTGACATATACTATGTTGGTCAGAAATCTCTTCTAACAACGGTTGAAGCTTCAATACACAAATGGCCTCATGGAAAGTCTACATCAGCGTGTTGAGGTCCCAGTTCCTGCAATACTCCGTACCCTAGAAATTAAAGCTGTTATATCTTTCCTCCCCTAAATGTAACATTGTGTACAGAGTGCTGCTGATTGGCTGATGTACATGTATTTGTAATGAAATTGCACCTTGGTGGACTTAATTTTGTTGGCAACGATCGGAATCAATGCGCTGTGCACACCAGCACGAGACCACACCGTCGATAACATTCGGCCTGTGTCAATGTTTGTCATTGTACGCGCTGAGTCGTCCATCCTAGGCCTTGGTGACTACAGCGTGTATTTTAGCATTCCCTCCATCCCTCTTGTGTCAGATATAAATTGATTCTGCCATCAGTCATTCAGCGCCACCTCCTCTACTCTGTGGTAATTCATGCCACTCGTCGCCAGAAAGCCTGGGGGTTGATTTGTCCAGAAGCCTGCACTGGTAACCTGCACATTAAATTCCTCGAGCATTTCAAAACTCTTGGCGCATGCACTTGTGGTCACAGTGCTCTCTTTGCACGGCTTTCCAAAATGAGGCAGGACTTGCAAGTTTACCTGCTTGAATGGTACCTTTTTTCACATGTGCAGTCTCACTGTTGCAATATGAGGACTGTGTTTAAGGGGCAACTTCAATAGTGTGTTTGTTGACAGTTTCCACAATTGTTGGTCTCACTTGAATGAACGTTGCTTACACCCGTTTCAGACAGATGTTCTAGGGTCATGCCGAACCAAATAGACCCAATTAAAGTTGGTCTCAGACAGACAACTTAATATATACATTTGCATCGGGTTTAGCCCATGAAAAGAACGACGTCTGAAACCAAGTCACTTTGATGTCGTTCCAAGCGCCTCCGAGTGTTGATTTTTTGCCTGCTAGCATGCCTGATTGCTCCTAATTGTTTCAGACGTCGAACTCTTGCTGTACTTAATTCAAAAAGTCTAGAATGCCTGTCTGAAACAGTTATTAATATTTCATTTCTATTTTTGAAGATTCTGATGAATGTGCAGTTTTCAGATGACTAAAAAGCTAACAGTAGCGTCCAGCTGTATAGTTATGTAACCAAAGTAACGCCCTGTCAATTATGAATTCTTCTCCATAAGGGCCCTGGGGGAAGAAGGCAATGAAGAGGGGTCTAGTTTTAGAGGTTGGGGGGGGGACCCAAACAAATATTCCAGGGAAAAACCACAAAATCATATAGGGAGTGAGAACCCAGTCAGGGGGAAGGTGAGGAAAGTGCCGCCACGCCAACCTGACTCCCCATGACAGAGATGGGTGGCCACTGCATCTTGCCTTTTTTTCAGAAGTTTAAATTTTCAGCCAAAAGTAAAAGTACCGTCTGGAAGAGGTTAACTAACCGTTAGCTTGTTCTGCTCTTTCCTGAGGCGATGGAGGAGAGCAAGCAGGCTGCCCATCGGTCCATCTCCGAGATGTCAGAAGAACAACAGCTGGCCTACGCTCTTGCCATCAGCACACAAGACGTGTCGGTGCTTAAATCGGATGACTGCTTTCAGGATGATCAAGAGGCTTTGAGAGATACACCGAGCAAAACTGACGCATCAAATCTTTCCCACGACATTGAGGACACTTTCGTATCTCTTAAGAGACGAGGGATGGATGATGCGGTCCAGTCTCTGGACAAAGTTCTCCATCAGTCGTCGGGCGATCACATAGGCATTGAGTCAAAGGAGAATGGAACTCCCTGTAAGAGATTCAAAACTGACTGTCTGGCTTCCAATCAGAGCACTCCGTCTGAGCATGCTCTAGGCGGGGGTGATGGCCCGATCGACCTCACAGGCGAGACCCAAGATCCCGGAGCCAACAGAACCAAACCCCACCCCTGGCGACGAGTGAAAAAATCCATCGCAAACTTCTTCTCGCCCGCCAAACAGACTCAGAAAGGCAGCACACTCGGTCTGGACAGCGACTTTGCGGACACCCCTCTCTCAGCCATTAAACCCACTTTATTGGAGGCCACTGCTGTAGACATCTGTAGGGAGGATGACCACAGCACTTTGCAAGTAGGGGTGAACGGCGACACTAAGCCAAGCTATGAGGAGCTCAAAGCTAAAGAGGATGAAGAACTCAGGAGGGCAACTCAGCTAAGTTTGCTAGGTATGATACAGATAATCATATAATATAGATAATCAAGCTTTTTTCTCAGATCATAGTGTAAATCTTTTACACTAGAAATTACACCACAGTCTGGGACCTATTCCATAGAGCTGTTGCTTAAGCACGAAAAAACCTAGCTTAAAAAATGGTAAGCATGCGTGATGCATCTAGACCAGCGGTCACTAGACCTTGTGCCATGAGCAGAACAACCTCAAATTTCTCATAAACACAGAAAATACAGACATAAATAAGAGACCATGTTCTGTGAATTAACTTGCAGAAAACCTCTTGCAACATAACATCGATGTGAACAGCCGACGAAGAGTGTTTATGTACAGTACATGTGTTTACATTCAGTACAGTACAGACTGGTACTAGTTGCTACAATTCAATCACGCATTCTTTTGCATGGGTGCGGCGCGGCAGGAACCAAAGCAGCTACGTATAATGCATAGAGTTTCGCACACGTGTTTTCACCACTGTGACAGCGAAACGTGAATGTTGACGATGCGTAAAGAATTATGGGCCGATTTCATGTCTGTGCAAGTAAAGTATACATACACGCGTGGCGCTAGATGACACAGGCCGGTGATGAACGATCAGCCCTGATGAATGCCTTGAGCATAATAAATGTAATTCTAACACAAAACTAATAATAAATCGGATGCCATAATCCCATATATTGTGTTGATATTTTAACACAAACACAATAAGTACTCGGAAAATGTCCGATGTCTGACCGTTATTTCCCGCTCTGCATCACAAGAAGTTTTGGCTGGTAACCTGATTTGTCAAGCAAGGCTTTTCACGCTTACACAAATTTTTGTGCTCAAGCAGCACTATAAAAAACAAACGTCAGCTGGAGGTGAGACAAGATGGGCTTGACTTTGTAACCTGTCAGCCATGCCTTGGGTAAAGTCACACTTTACCCAGTATCTTTTGCTCAATCAATGAATGCTTGGCAATTTTAATTGTTCTTGAAATGCTGTAATCTTTGTTTAGGCTCAGCTTTTATTGATTTAATACAATTCTGATCTTTTCTGCAGCTTTTTGCATTGCAGTGCATTGATTCTGACTTTTCAGCTTGTGAAATGTGTCTTTTTTCTAACTATGTGCAGATGCTCAAGAAATTGATAAAAGGGAAGAGGATGCTTTGAAACGAGCTAAGCAAATCAGCTTACAAGGTTTGTATGGCCAATGGTATATCAGAACTAAAATCCCAACACCCAGTAGCATCTTAACAATGCATGCTATCCACTAGTACCTATCTGGAAAAGTTTTGTGTATTGAATTTCATAGAATTTGAGTTTACTATCTGTTCAGATATTCTCGGGCTTTTTGAAAGAAAACATTTATTTTTACAAACCAAGTTTCCAGGGTTTGGATTGACTGAAAACTTTTACCAAATAATTGTTACATTAATCAACTGAATGACACTCACCTCCCTATCTTGAACCACACGACTTAGTCTCCAATGCTATCCAGGACTTCCCGTTTCAAAAGTCTAAAAATCCAGGAAATACCCATTGCTTGCTTTCGCCATTGGCCCAAAATTTGAAATGTGCATCTTGCCTGCGTTGTCTCACAGAGTTTTCTGAGAGCTTCACCTGTCTCGAAGATGATGACGATGCAGCTGAACCCATGGAGATCGATGAGGAGTCGGACGATGATGCAACCAAAGAACTTGCCAAGAACGCCGAGGTCAGTTCACGTTTTTTGTCCCCAATGTCTTTCAACACACTCTGTTCACTCACTTATCGTGACTTGTTGGTGCCTTCAGCTGTAGGAAGTGATGCTTTATCGTTCGGTGAACTTTACAGTCGAACCTCGTTAATAAAATCACTGTTAATACAAGATTCTGCTTATAACAAGGAAAATTTTAGATCCCAATCCTTTGTTTTTATTCCTGGTAATACAAGGTTCCTGTTGTAGCAAGGCAATTTGCCAAGTCCAAAGACCTCTTATTAACGAGGTTCAACTGTATTCATTTCAGGTATGGCATTGAATCTGCCAAAGGATACGCACGCAATGCTGTACATGTATAGTGTGCACTTCAGATCCAGATGTTTAATGCTTCTCTTCTTGTTCATGTATACAGCTTGATGCACAGACACAGGAACAGGCACAGATTGACTAAAATTAAAATCAAACAGAAATCAAGAGCATTGACGTTTAATAAACTTTGGCAGGATGGGCGAATCAAAATCTGTCAGATGCAAAACGTGATGGAGCCATCTTACTTTCAGTGCTGTTTTAATGGTCCCCACTTATAGCGCCCTCAGTCGGTTAGAAATCAAAAAAATGAGTTTGGCCGCTACAGGCATTTTACAAGCAAAATCCTGGTTTTTAGGCTTTTTCATTTAAAACGAAAATTTCAGCCTGTAACAAGGCATATTTAGGCTTCTCTGGCCTTATTAGTTTATGGACAAAAACATGACTAGCGTCCTGTCATTTGTTCCATTATAATGGGATTACCATGTTGCATTGAAATTCTTCTTTGCTGCCTTGTTTGACACACTGAGACCCATCCCAACAGTTTTTCATTTGCTTTTCCCTGTTAAAAGTTTCTTCAAAGTTGCCATAGATGTTTGTTTTTTTTAGACATTCTTAATTTTGTCGGAAGAAAAATGTTAAAATATTAATAATTTTACCACAGGTCTGCAAGTCAAGAATGGAATTAAACAGAGACCTTGAAAAGAGATTGATGGGTTGGGGATAATTTGGCTTGGATCATTGATGGAAATCAGATGAGCTAAAATTCCATTGGACTTTCAATTCTAATTTTTAAGGCATTTGTATGATTTTTTTTACAGAGTGGTCACCTGCCATTGTCTTACCATCTCACAAGTATCGTAAGTCACATAGGCAGTACATCGTTAATAGGACACTACATCAGTGATGTCTTCGACAGTAAGAAGTCGACATGGCTAAGCTATGACGACTCACAAGTTGTCCGCATGTCTGAGTCGGCAGTCAGGGAAGATCGGGAGAGAACAGGTTACATTTTCTTCTACATTGCCAAGTGAGATGTGCATAGATGATGTTAAGGGGGAGCTTTGAGAAGGCAGGAAACTAGTTTGTTTGAAAAGGAGACAGCATCATGTCTGATATACCATATTATGACGTACATGTACCTGGGACCAAAAATGTAGTGCTACCCTGGCATCTGGTCTCTGAGGCAGATGGACCAGTTAGAATATTCCAAACAGGGACAAGCACTTAAGAAGCCATTGTCAGTAGATGCCTCGCACATATATATTCCCAAAGCACAGGAAAGGTTGGTTTCAGAAAAGAAGAGAGTTCCGGCAGTTGTGACTAATTTGCAGGACCTTGTGCAAACATGTCTTCTCCTGTCTCTCCCAAAGTACCTTGTCGTCGTTATTGACCATCCTGGATGAGAAATTAAAGCCATTTGAGAAATGCAATTCGGGTCAGCTGAAACCAGTTCCAGTCGGCTAAAGCCAGTTCTGACCGGTTCCATCCATTCCCACCTTGTCTCCAGTTAAGAATTAACAGTACTGCTTTAACGAACAGCTTCTCTTTGGAATCAGCATGTTATTTATTGGAAGAAGTCAAAATACCAACTTTTCATTCAACATCACAACTCAGAGCAGTGTTTAGTTTCCACAGTTCAGATGTTGATAAGTGACCATAAATTTGAGATACAGTTGTTTTGGTACTAGGAGAATATGCATCATAATATTTATGATTACCATTTCCCAGAATTTGACACTTTTAAAATGAATACACATGTACTTCAAGCATTCAACAATACTTTTTATCAAAATTTGCACGGTATCATTAAAACAATGTACTCTAACAAAACTTCAGTAGACACAAGATTTGCAATATAAAGAATGTTAAAAACCACTGTACTCTGCTAGTTTTGGGGTGGATTTGTGTGTGAGAACTAAACTACGTGGAAAAAAAAATTTCTGGAAGTAAGAGTAGAACAATGTACTTCATTTCTCTTTTTTTTTTTTCTGAAGCCAAAAACCAGTCAGATTTGACAGATAGGACATGTGTGATGCAATTTCTGTCGGATTATAATCAAGCATATCCCCACCCAGTATTATTACGATGTACATATTGCTTAAAGAAATGCCAATTCCGTGGTTTGACTGACTTGTTTTTTAACTTGCACATAGATTGCAACATTTCACCCCGTCTTGCATCATCGAAGTTGTCTGGATTTTTAATTAAACTCACTGCTGGGTGTGCAAGTTCCATCAACAATCACCCCAAACCAAGCAAAGATAGACAGGAACATAGATATCACTCAGAGGTTTTGTTTTGCTGCATGTCTGTCTGTGAAAACCATGATGTCATTTAATCTTTTTTTTTTTTGGTATGATCATTTGGTGCTGGTTTTCCAAGTACATGTACATTTGCGTAATAATATATGTATTGCTGTTGAATTAGCAAACGGAAGCAACAATTAAAGGGAAATGCACTTTACGGATAAAATGTCAACCGCTTTGTTAATTAAATGTAAACGCGTCTCCCCATTTGGGATGGACTTTCCCAAGGATGTTCTGTTGCATGCAACAGAACTGAACTCTGTGTGGTCTGTTCCGCTTTGTTTTGGCGTAAGTTCATCTGAAGGTTTGGCGTATTTTTTTCCCATGGATTTTGAAGCAAACCGACATTTTTAAAGGGATATTGGAAATTGAAAGAAGGGGGGACCCATTTCTAGACGTCATCTAATACTCCAGAACTGGCACATGCATAGAGAGATATGTGTTTTAAGTTCAAATAGTACAGATTGTACAACAGGGACTTTAACTCTGTTATTTTCATTTTTCCATCTGTTACTGACCTCTTCTTTCATTATAAACAAACATTGCCTACTATTTTGTGCAGAAGGCCATTTTTTTGCAGAGAGTTCATCCTTCACTAGCAACACTTTCTGTCTCAAAAAAAAAACCCACTTATGCCCCAGTTGTATTAAAGACAAAGGTATTTTTGGTACTTAGTGGTGGTATGGTATTATTTTTTAGTAGCTTTGCCATTTTTTAAACACTTTATGAATCATTCTTTTGATTTTTTTTGTCCTGGCAGCCTGTCATAGTTCGCCATTCACCGGTAGGTAAAAAAACCTGTGGCTGAGACCTCGCCAACGTGTTCAAGCATTTTGAAGTTGTTTAGACAGCCTTAAAGTTCATGTTCTACGGGAAACATGTTAACCCTAACAGTCCCAAATCCTCCGATTTCAATATGATTTACATACACCCTGGGGGGTTAGGATAATGTAGCAATGAATGCTCAAATTCTTTCTAACAGTTCAGCTGGGGGATTGTGAGAATATACATATTCGTAGCGCTGAGAAGCCTGTTTCGGACACGATGATGCATATTCTTTATGCACACAAAAAAACTCATGACAACGGCGTTGCCATAGCAATCAATTAACTTGTTCTTTTTTTCACTTGTAATAAGCTTGCTGGCAGGGAAGTGTTTTCATGACATAGTAAGGACTAGCCATGGAAGTGTTGAACAAATTAATTGCATTTTATTGTTCTAGGTTTTGTATTGGCATGAGAGTGTGAGAACAGTCAAAATATGTGAATTTCACGTCCAGTGTGTGGGATTTGACAACTCTGTTGTCTTCAGCCAGTGTAACTCGTTTGTCCCCCGTGCCGAAACTTCAGTGCGATACTATGCAGACTCACTTTACAGGCGGTCGGTGGTATACACTGTACTTTATGATCTAAAGGCCTACCTCACCATATCACAAAATTTACATGAATGCACACTTTGATGATGCTGTCAACAGCAGAGTAAATTGAGAATATAAAAGTACATCTTTTAACAAATAATGTTTTTAAAGTTTTGAATTTAATACATTTTTCAGGCATGCTGATAATAATCAATTTGGGAAAGGTTTCAACCAGGCAAGCTTAGTTGATTCCATAGATTTTTTTTGGGGGGGTGGGGGTGAAACAGTTACATGTACTGCAATCTCTGTGTATTGGCAGACGTGCAGAAATGTTGGCAGTGAATGGTAGGATGACCTGGAGCCACATTCGGCAAAGTCACTGGACGCCAATTGGGACGGCCACTTTTTGGCGCCAGTTGCATTGAAACTGAAGTGTTCTTCAAAGTGGGGAAATGGCAGACTTGTTCAAGTTTAGTCACAACGCTAGGCGTCTCCTTTTTTAAAAATGTAATCTTCCATTCCACGTTTTTGAACGAAGAGGACGTGTGCCAGTGTAGTGCAAGAGCTAGAGTTATTTTCCAGTGATCCTTTTTTATTTTGCCATCAAATCAAATTATTTGTCCGTTTAGTTTTCCAAATTGGGAAGTAGAGATAGAACGAGAACCAGTCTGTTGTACGAACGAACGTTACCTACTCCCACTGGTTCCAGGGCGTTACGTTATGCACATGAAGCAGATGATGCAAGCGTTACTCCATATTGAAGAAGACAATACCCAAGTCGCCGTAGTTTTGAACCTATCCGAGTCCTCAGTTGGTGACGGAGCTAAGCTTAATCCTGCCGTGCAAACATCTCTTTCGGCGATGTACAAATGTGCCTATCATGACTTGTGAAGCATTGTAAGAGAAAAATCCAAACCGTATACATGTAGTTCGTCACTCGAAATATCAGAAAGTTTCTGTAGTATTTTTCTCTCAGTTGTCACAATTAGTCTCTTACCGATGCCACATTACTGCTGTGGATAGATATGTTGCCATGGCGATGCCACCCAGTAGGGAAATGGGGTTGACATTCAACCTGCTGGCAGACGACAGCAGGTTGCAATTGTCCTCGTGACAACACCAGACGCAGGTGTAATCAGTGTCACTGGCGATACACTGGCCGTTGTTGAAGGTCTTTTTCTCCGCAGTGCAAAAAGTGTCATCCACGCAGCTTCGCGTCACTGTCATGGGCAGGTAGTCACTGCCGCCTGTGAACAAACAAAAATACGGCCGTTTCACAATAGTGTGCCACCAAGAGTTGGCCAATCACAATGCACGAAATTTGTCGACCCAATGCGTTTTAGAAAGGGTCGACAAATTTCGCGCGTTATAATTGCCCAACTTGTTGCAAACTCTTAGTGGTGCACTATTGGGAATCGCCCGTATTGTTCAGCTCTGAGTTTACAAGACGCTTAAACGATTATGGTCATTGCAGCTTAAAGCTGTCTTCCACAGATTGAAAAAAAAAATACTGTTTTGGAAACCAGCATTTCAAACTGTACAGAGACATAAGCATTTATTTTTGATCATTATGTAAATTAAATATCACCTTAACTTGTCTTAATAAACTGCTTGAGTAAATACACCCCTTTGTGGCTCGGCGCAACATCATTTTATAATTCTTAGATGCATTAGTAATTTTTATCGATGGTGTCAATGTGCGCATCCACAAAGAAAAATTGTGTAAAAATTTGACAAATATAAAAGGAAAAGACTTAAAGGGCTGTTAAAAGTAATATACTTCCCCGCTTCGATTTGTTCGCTGTTTTGATACCCGTTTTGGAAATGTTAGCTTACATGAATGTGTGGGGGGATTAGTGTCGAGCTTGTTTTACAACTTGCCTTTGTACTTGATTTGTGTGAAGCATGTATTGTAACCCACGGTACACCGCTGTACGCGCCCAACTCTCCTGCATTCGTCTTCGCTTGAGGTGGCAGGGCAGTAGAAACATTCCATCGACTTGGCTGTTGACAGAAGATACGATTACCGTCAGAAGCCAGACCTACCAATCTCTGGTTGGAAAATAGTACTTTAGTGTACTTCCACAACCAGAATTATTATCTCTTGTCTAGAGCTAGGTCTAGGTCTTGACTCCATTAGAAATGCGTGGAGACGCGTAGACAATAGACCTAGCCGTAGCTCTGGCCTTAGCAACCAATGCTGCGGTGGCACAGCGCTGGTGGACAGGTGGTACGCGCGTGTTACTTGCCTCTTCGACCAATAGGGTGTCGTGATTTGCCAAATGCACGCGCGCGTTAAGCTGAAGAATGTGCACGTGTGGGTGCGGTGCCGTGCCATCACAGCAATGGCGTCTATGCGGATTAGTCTGTACATAGCAGCCCTTGTCGAACAGTGTCGATGAAACGCAGGCAATAGTAAAAGCAGCACTTGTGGTTCACTTCCGGATCCAGCTCAGTTCGTTTTGCTCTTCAAAATCAGACATGAGTTGTGAGTACATTTACTATAACTTATTGCCTCATTGTGGGTAGGCTTACAACAAATGCCACCTTACAATGCAACTGCGCTTGGAAGATATTTTATTGATGCTCCAAGTTTACGCCTCATAATGCATGTTGGTGAGAGGTCAGAGCGTTTTCATCTGCCATTTTACTCGAGAGGGCCCACATGTCATGCTCTCTTGGTGGCTCCTTTATAGTGAAAAACCCGACAAATTGGACATCAATATTCGTGGTATTCAATGATGTGTGCGTGGGATCTATGCATTCTTGTATTTTGTAAACAGTGCATTTAAACAAATTTGAATCTTCTTTGTAGCAGTACACATTCGTCCGCGCAGTATTTGTATGAAATGATCATGTATCGAAGACCAGTTTTATACAGGATCCGGTTCTTAAAAACGTTTTCTCTGTCTGCGTTTCCTTCTTTTGTTACACAGAATCCTAGCTTTTAATTTGTATTCAAGCATGATATTTAAGACTAGTTTAGCCATTCCTGTTGGTCGAGAGCCCGTCCCTTGATATTTAAGACTAGTTCAGCCATTCCTGTTGGTCGAGAGCCCGTCACTTGGGCGGTTTTAATCGATTGATAAAGCACCGGCTGTCTGATAAAACTTTTTCTAGTGTGACTCAGAAATTCCTATGAAATCTGGTCACTTCCTTGTACTGGTTAGTGTTCACAATCTTCACTTTTGTTGTTGCAATACCACTGGTCTCAAACGAACATTTAAGACTGGCCAAGCACGTTTTCTTCCCTTAGTAACGCACATGTCACGTTAGTACTCACTTGCCCACTTAACCTGTCGACTAATATCCGGCAACCGCTGTGGCACCACGCTGTTGGACAGGTGGTACGCGCGCTTTTATATGTCTTTTTGACCAATGGGATGTTGTGATTTGTCAATTGCACGCGCGCATCAAGCTAAAGAACGCGCGCGTGAGTATGGCGTCATGCGGCAATGGTGTCTTCTCGGATATACAATGTAGTGCATGGCCTTCATGTTGCAGTCATTATGACGCAATCAACGCAAAGATGGAGACTTCACAGCGACTGGGGTGGACGGTACATCTCTTGCGACTCCGAAGCGTTTTCATCCACACTTTTGCTCAACAAAGATAAATGGGTGGGTTTTTCCCGCTAGTTCGACTTGGCGGTCCTTATTTACAACTCCCATTCAATTATGTTCGAGGAAACTTGCCTGGATTGCTTCCTTTTTTCGAGATATTTATCGCTTAAGGTTTTGAGCCGTTTTGTAACAGTGGAATTTAACATTATCGATTACAGAAGTGTATTTCAGGTCTATTTTAGATAGGCTACAACCAAGCTTGGACACACACAAAGGCCTACTTTCGTTTAAAGTGTAGCTGCAACGAACATGCTTCATATTTATTTTTCAATGTGTGGACACTATTTGATATCGCTCTTAGGTTAAATGCATTGAAAAGTACACTTTTTGAACATTTACAATTTATCCATGCTCTCTGAGGGCGCTATTGCTTTGATGTCGTCTAGGGAATGCATTGTTCAGTGAGTAGGTTTCTCTGTTCAAAGAAATGGACCCAGAATTACCTCGATGAAAACACTTACGAAGAAGGGATGACTGCTTGCTTATTCATGTGTACTTACACAGCAAATCACCAAAGAAGAGTAAAATCATTAAAAAATTACAGGATTTTTTGCACTAACCGACGCAACACATGTTTCTTGCTAAGATGATATTACGGTTTTGCTCATGGATATGGAAATATCAGCATAAAACTTAAAAAGCTAGCAAAAGGCTCCTTGAAATAGTGAAACAAAAAATTGAAAGTGAGGTTAATTGACGAGCACAGAGGTGCATTTTGAGGGTTTTCATGAAGATAATTCCATCGCACCTACCCTTTGATATTGTTCACAGCCTTGTGGTGTGAGCCAAGAGTGGAATTAAATTCCGCACCCTGATATTAATTTTGTTTTCAGCAATCGTGTCAGGGAACAAAAGATAAATGCCAGCTGTTTTTTGCTCAATTTCCGACAGCCTCGGACTCGACGGTTTTGTGATGTTGGTGACGGGGGCTGGTACACACGAGATTAACCCGCCATTATTGACGTGAGAACATGCCAAGCGCGAATCCCAACAGACAACCACGAGGAACGTACAGGCCTATCCATCAAAGCGAGCAGTTCATAAATGCGCTTAATCAGCCAATGTTTGTTCTCACTAAATATGAAATGAACAGGTTTTTCATGATTCCATCCATGCATGGAATACTATAGAAACGTATGATAACCTGTGTCGTCATAATTTTTATATACCCACTGACAGGCCCAGGCCGTGTCTGAATTACTGGCTGCGGCTTGAAATTACTTAAGACTTTATGGACATTGGCTGTAGCCATTATCACAGACTTTTGCGCAATCGAAATACCAGTTTAGCTTCGAGACTTGATATATTAAAACCTCATAAAACCAATATATTGCACTATCGTATTTGGAACACGGTTTTTTTTCTGTCTTTGTTAAATGACGTCAGAGAATCCGCAACTGTCTTGTCTTACGGTTTGAGCCTGGGTGTAATGCTGCCTTCAGTCAAAACTAGGTTCCACAGTCTTGTATCTTAACAACAATAATTGAAGTAAATTCCTCACTTAAGTGATGCTGCTACATCTTTCTCTCTTATTGTTTTTTTAATCATTATAGTCGATAATGATTTGTTTCACTGAATTTTAAATGATTGTTCCTCTTGGCACTAATTTGTGTAACCCTCGCGGATGTATATAATCACAACAGAGACAGGTTATTTAAGAATAAATACAGGAAACGCTGTGTTGACCAGACAAACGATTTCAACATAGGAGTGGACGGAACAGTAATTAAATTTAGGCGGCCAGAACCAACCACTGTTTTCAATTTCCCTGAAACGGCGGCCAAACATTTCCGATTGAACACGGTACGGCGATGGGAAAAAACGGAAGGCTGGAGGTTGGATTCGGCGAACCCAGGAGCTTCGACCGCGGGGCCGTCGCGGTGGTGTAACTCGTTTACCACCACCCGTTAATTAAGAGGGTTCCCCGGGCGAAATTGGCGCTCTCGACCCATTGCCGAGGATATGTAAGACCGTGGCACGGGGCGGTAGTTACTTCCGCACGGTGCATCTTAATTTGATTGAGGCGTCACATCACGTGGTGTGCATGTGTTATAATAACTTACACGTCACGTGAGCAGGGGAATTTCGGTGGACCGTGTACACCAGCTGACCAGGTCCATAGCCCGGTCCTGAGAACGTGCCCCAAGGGGCAGTTATCGGTCAGCGATGCTGAATTGTGCGAGCTTGATCCGGCCCGACGGGCCCATCTGACCTCATTCACCGTCAAGGCGGTTGCATGCTAATTATAACAGTCTGTTACGTGTGTGGACATCGCTTGAAATTAAGTGACGGTACCTATAGGCAGATGTATACCTAGGCTGCTATACCCAATAATAAATTAATCACTGCCAGCAAGTCCTAATATTTAACACGTCAGTTTTTCCTCCGAGTTAAGTCTGTGTCGATTTGGCGTAGAAAACTTTTTTTTTAAATCCAGGTTCGAAGTCCTACCCCAGTCCATCGTGAACACTGCAGGCTTCCCATTTTATGAGTGTCCTATTTCGAAAAACTCCCCATCATTGATCGTCTTCAAACCGCAAGGTTCCACTTCTGGGTGTACTTTGCACTGCAGCATGATAGCGTTCCGTCATCGTCTCGCAGGTCTGTGCAGAGTGATGTGATGAATATATTGCAGGGTGACACAATTTTGTGTCACGTTCTTCATCATTCTGCAGAGCCGCGCTTCTACTTCTATGCAATTCCCGAAATGTAAGTGCTGCAGACACAGATATTCCCGTTTCATTTTGGTTTCTCCTTTTTTTCCCCTCCTTTTTTTTTCTTTTCTTGTTTGTACCTTTCTCGTCTACGTCATTCATGTGCTCTCGAGTGACAGATTTCCTCTTACGAAATCGATTTGCCTCGTGCACCTGGGGCAAGAGGGGAGCTTCGGTTTCACACGGTAATGAAAGCACCTTCAACAACTTGATTCGTCGCGCTGACGCGGGATTTGAAAATTGCATCTATCACTATGCAATCCTCTAATAAATCCACGGAAATGAGCGAGTTCCCTGCTTTCCCTATCTCTGACTGTTAGAAACGTTGATTAGGCCTGCTTTGTCATCCATTCGGGCAGTGTTGGTGTGGTTATCCCGTTTTCAATATAACTCGATTTTCCTCTTTTAACAAGAAAGAGAGTGCGATTTCTCACTTTCGATGGCTTCCCTTCTCTTCGACAGTTATCATTATCTTACGGTCGTTGGTCGGTCTCCTTTAAACTCTGAGGCATATTGCATTGCGCGAGGGCAGACTGTACTGCCCCGTGTCTCGTTTCCAATAATATTCATCCGCGGAAGTAAAGCGAGTGTGGTCTGCAATAGCTACAGGCTCGGAGGTATGTTGGAACGCGGGGGCTCGACTAGTGCTTTTCCTCCCGCGGCAGAA